TATCGGTGATGGCGTACGACTACCCGCCGGAGAAGCTCGGTGTTTACCTGTCTGATGATACTGGCTCTGAGCTTACCTTGTATGCTCTATTGGAGGCTTCCATCTTCTCTAAGCATTGGCTTCCCTTTTGCAAAAAGATCAATATTGACCTCAGGTTCCCTACATCTTATTTTCCTCATCATCAAGATGGTGTTGGCCCACAGATCTCTCCATGGCTCCATGCTCAAGGTGCATCTCAATTTTAAAAATTGCTTCATAGAACCTTGACACATTATTTATATAACGAGAAAAATAGTAGTGATAATGAATAGTGCAAGAAAAATATGAAATATGGTGTAAAAGTAGGAAGAGAACATAAAATGTAGAAAAAGTAAAAGCACTTAAGTATATCTAATTAAAGGGAAAACTAACCTTCTAGAAAAGAAAGTGTAGCAAATTTTTAAATACATTAGAAAAGAAAAGTATAGTAAACTTTAAAATTTAAAATAAGGAGAGAAAACCAAAAGGAGGGGAAAATGAAATAAGTAAATGTGAGCTGAACACTTCACATGAATATTTTAGCAAATACATAGCAATCAAAATAAAAGAAAGGCATACAAACAAATAAGCAAGGAATATAAACACATAGCATCAATAATAAGTCTTCCAGGTCCATTATTGTTTTAGAAACCCAATGCATATATTCTAGACAGAAGATAAATGGTGCCACATGCAAGAAGCAAGTAGATTAATATTTGCTGGAGAAGCTGTGGTCATTACTGCAACAAAAATTTGCAACGACCCCTTCCAAAACTTGATGAAGACCCCACATTCCGTTCAACAAGGATAACAATAATCACAATCACAAAGACATAACACCTCAAAATTCCATCAAATACATCATAGCCATTCTTGGAGGATTAGAAGGCAGAGTAAACATTGACTACAATGTAGAGAATTACCTAGAGCGAATTGACGAAGCTGAAAACTCTGCACGTCACAAGGAACGAGTCTCCCCGAGCTTGAAACCGGGTCGGGGATGAGACCGCCGGCAGTTGCTCTACGCGCTGCAGAATGGACCTATTACCTACCGACGGTTCTTCAATATGACACTTTTTCGAGTTCCGGTATTGCACAAGAAATACGTAGTAGTCAAATAGTCTAGCATCGGGTAAATTTGACGCCGTGTCAGTTATAGTGTGATTACAGCTTTAATTTGTAACCTAATAAGCATCCGGTACAATTGGCCAAGGCAGAAAGGAGACACCAACATTTTTCACAAGACCATTATACCCCTAACAATATTCATGCTTATACAATTGTAGAGATTATAAAAATACTCAGCTCCCTCCATCCCAATATAAAAGGCACATTTGTTTTTCCACACATTTTAGGAGGAAACACCATTTGACACTGTTTTGACACTGTGACACTGTTTTGCACTATTTAGTTTGACAAAAATGGAAATGTGCCTTTTATACTGGGATGGCCCAAAAAGGAAAATGTGCCTTTTATATTGGGACGAAGGGAGTATATCAAATTTTATTATTATTATTATCATCATCATCATCATCATCATCTTTTATAGGGAAGTAATGTTTCATATAGAAAAATAAAAAAACAATATATTAATTTGTGTAGTTTAGGATCGTTTTTTACCATGCACAAAATTGATCAAGAGTACTGATAGATTACAACAAAATCACACAAACTCCATCACATTTATTTATATAGTTTTCGCACAAGAATTTATGTTGTTTTATTTCACATGACATCAATATTGAATATATACAAATCTGGAGCGCATAGTAAAAAATGATCTTAAACTACATAAATTCATATATTTTTTTTTTCTTCTATATGAAACATTGCTTCCATATAAAAGATAATAAAAAATAATAAATTTTGATATATTTTTCATTTTTTGTAATAATCGGAATACAAATAAAAAAAATATGTGACACTTTAAAATCAGATACGCAAGTAATATTTAATGTGTTAAATGATTTTTTGATTTTATATATTCAATATTGGTGTCATATGAAAGATAATAAAAAGTTATGAATGATGGTTGATAGAGTATTAATTCTAGAGAGAAGTGAGAGCTAGAGAGAGAAAGTGAGTAATTATATTTCTCAATTTGGAACCCCCTATAATTAGCCCCTTGGGGTCTATTTATAGGTAAAAATGTGGATTTGGGCCCCTAGCCTTGGGCTTAGGAGGCCCATTACAATAATCATGCCTTCTTTGGGCGAAATTGGGCCACTAATGGGCTGTGTACAATACTTAATAAATAAAGTAGAGAGATGCATTCTGCCCGTACGAAGCCGGGCCGATGCGGTGCCTTTTGGCCGATGCGGTCCCATGGCCGATGCGGTCCATGGGCCGATGCGGTCCCGGGAGTCCATGCGTGCTTCCTGGGCCGGTTTGGTTTCTGGCCGATGCGGACCCACCGGCCGAAGGGGGCCACGTGGGTGTTCTTCTGGCCATCGTTGACTTGAGTATGTGGGCCATGGGGTCCATGCCCATATACTCTATCAATGGTATATTTTTTTTGTTACAATCAGAGTACAAATAAAAAAGTTATATCACTTCAAAATAAACATGAGATATTTATTTGTGGTGGGACCCAATATCATTTATGGTTGTGTTTGGCTTGGCTTTAGCATTATGCTCGTTACCTGCGGGAGCTACTTATTGTTTTAGAAAAGCCGCCACTTCAAGTGGCGGTTGGCTCTTGCACTGTAAGACAACAGTATTTCGGGAATTGTTTTTAACTCAACAGTATTTTGGGAACTATTTATTTATTTGACATTATTCCGGGAAAAAACTCACATTAATAATTGTAAAAAAAATACATAAACAAAACCCATAAATTCATAATACCAAATCATCTCATTATTTAAAACTATATATATGTGGTCATAACCAAGATTTATATACCCTTTTACAGTGTTAATGAGGTGAATAACAAACGTTACACATAACATATGTGAAACATAAAAATCATTAGAGAATACAAACTATCACTCACTTTTATGGAGTAATATATATGTTGTCAATCTAATTACAATTGGAACTATATATATTAAGTCCTATAGTTCATGTTAATAATTCCTCATCGTCATCATCATCATTATCCTAGTGCCGCAAAGGTTATCATCTATGATGGTGTAAGGGAGGATCGGATATACGCAATCTTACCCCTGAACTAAAACATCAAGAGACGGTTTCTAGATAACCCATAGAGAAATTCGCGTCGAAATTTCCATGCACCGACAAGTGCTTCACAATAAAGAAGCGCAGACAGTTTAGTGAGTCATTTTACTTTATTCCATCATATGTCCCTGCCAAAATATAATGAGTCTTTAACTCCATTAAAAATGATGAAAATTAATAATTCCGCATCATTTCTATTAAAAAAACATGCCTATAATTTTACAATTTTACGAAGTACTCCATATAAGATTTCATATACGATTCAAACATGTTTTTTTATCATCATAAATACTTGTGATTCAAATCAACTTATTGAGGTAGAATCGTAAAACCATACTCTGTAGTCCTTGCCATTTTTACAATTTAAACCGCACTTTTAACAAGCCTGATATGCACAGTTGCACACTAAACTCCTGTTATAGAACATGCAAAGATTTAGTATACGCAAACTGGAATCCATACCAGCTTTAGTATAGCAGTAGGCATGGATCCGGTTCGGGAACCGGCCCGGCCCGCTACTGTGCGGGACCAGACCGGACCGGTGCTTCGGGTCCGAACCAGTCCTTGACCCGGTATGAAGGCTTGAGCGGGGGCGGGCTGCAGAAATGGGGACCCGGCCTGGCCCGAGCCTTGTTTGGGTCAAAACTGTTTTTTCTTTTTCAGTTTTTTTTCCCGGGTTGAGCTTGATGTTTTGAGGGAGGGAGGGGGGGGGGGTTGGGGGTGGGGGGGGGGTCATGGGTAGTTAGGAAAGGAAAAAAAAATTACAACCCAACCCGAGGCCCGGCCCGAACCAGACCCGGTGGCAACCCGGGCCGGTCCCGGGCCTTCCCTCAACCACAAAAGGCCCGACCGGGTCCGGCTCGGCTCCATGCCTAAGCAAGAGCATATACATGGGGGGATCCATGCGGCATAGTTCTTTTGGACTGTTTTCAGTCCCAGACTAGGCCAGATCAAACCAGATCTATCATGACTTCTGTAGTTATAAAATACACTGAGATCATACGTTTACTAGACCATATCAGACCAGTTTAGACCTTACCAGACCAACAAATTTCAGTTATGGATGGACTCGGGCCGGGTGGCCCGACCCAAAACCGGCCCAGCCCGCCACTGTTCCGGCCCGGCCCGGTGGCCCGATCATGGACCGGTCCGGGTAGGCGCGACCCGGGGTGGTTCCGGTCCGGGCCCCTCAAAACGTGAACCGGCCCGGCCGGTTCGGGCCCGGTCCGTGCCATTTTATTTTATTTTTTTTTTGAATTTTTTTAAAGTTTTTGGATTGGGCTAGGTTTTTTGGGCCATTTGAGGTGGTTTGGGTGTGAGGGGTGGGGGTTAATTAGGAAAAGGCAAAAAAAATACCCGAGGCCCGGCCCGACCCGGCCCGGACCCGGGCCCTCCAATCCAGGACCGGAGGCCCGACCGTGACTAGGCTCGGCCCGGGCCCAGCCCGAACCGAGTCCATCCATAATTTCAGTCCAAAAGAAAACATCCTAATACAAGTTCAACTTTAGTCAGGTAAAACCATCTTTTTCTGTTCGGGTTGGTTCTTAGCTGATTTTGTAAACAATTTAAATAATCAGTACGGAAACCAGCCATACCAACCTTGTTTTACACGAAGCAAAACCACACCTAATAATAACCACTACTGGTTCTGATTCAAAAAAGGTAGGCCTATTCAATTTCCCATTACAAACACAGTCAGTCTTGTTCCGATACCGAACGATGTCCGTGTCTAATACACCCTTTTTGCATTTGTATTTTGTATACTGCAACTAGCAAGGATGAAAAAGTAGACAAAACTGGAACTGAGCAACCATAATAGGAACTAATTGCCATTATTATACACGAAACAAGCATTTAATTCTACCAAAGTACAACATAAAGTGTACCCCAAATTATAAACTTCACAAGTTTCTAGCATCCAAATTATGTGTTCCAGTGTGATGTACATACAAGAACACAGTATTATCAAAACAGGGTTGCAACCAAGGTTGAAATAGTTTATCTGTGTCCTTGAGCTTGTGGCATATTATAACCACCCCAGGTAGTTGGTCCAGATCCATATTGAGAATAACCTTCAGCTCCAGCTTGAGGCTGAAAATAAAGGAAGATTTTAAATTACACCTAAAATATATATTGATTTTTTCAAAAGGAGTTTATTTTATATGCATTCAATCAGAAAATGTTATTGGCAAATCTTAAAATTCTTAAAAGAAAAGAACTATAGCAGTCAGAGAAAGGATATCATGGTTTTGAGGTTTGCTTTTCAAAACAAATCATTTCATAAATCATGATTCATGACTAAAAGCTACAGCAGTCAGCAAACCAAGTTATTAGAGATAAAGTAAAGTGCATACCATCCCACTTGCAGGATGCACAGGATTTACGGGGTTCATGCCATAAGCAGCAGGATAATAATTCCCAGCATAGCCTGAGGTCTCTGGATTAGCATAGTTTGTGCCATAACCTGCAGCTGCTGCAAACAAAACCACAGAAAGGAAGTACTAATTAGTAATTATGCCATATTCGTTCAAGGCACTAAAACTTATGCATGGAACGAAAACCTATAAAACTATTGAAAACAGAACATAATATCGCATTGGAATTGATGGGTATGAGCTATGTAGTTAACTCCCTACTCGGTAGTAACTCGGTCAAGGACCGAGTACAGAGTAGGACCGATTACTCGGGATTACTTGGTGATTGCTCGGCCTTGTATTAATTAGGTTTATAGAAATATAGCAATCTTAAAATTATCTTAAAATGCATCGAAATGAATAAAATAATAGAAATGTTAATGATGGAGTAGAAAAAGTCATAAACATTCTAAGTCTTCAAGAAAATCAATCATCTAATAATATGGTAATATCTCTTAAGAGTAATATTAACATATTCAGTACCATTAGAAGCATTAGCAGACTGAGCAGAGTTCATGATTGTCAATTAGATGATGTGTGACAGTGTGTATCAATCAATGATGTGCCATAGTAAACAATCAATATAGTGATATTAATTAAAAGTTACATAGTATAATATATAGTCATAAAAAATATAGTCATACTAGTGAAAAGAATTTATTTATATCAAAATATATGTGTGTATCAATATTAAACAATCAAGATGGTGATATTTTAAGAATGCTGAAAAAGAACATACGGCGAAGAAGGATGGGGGGGTGGAAGAAGAAGAAGAAACAAGAGAGGGGAGAGGGGAAGAAACTCGGTTTAACCTAGGTTTTGTAACTTAATTTTTCAATTTTATAAGGGGGGACCGAGTACTTGCCGAGTTGAAAACTTCACCGAGTTGAGAAACTCGCCGAGTACTCGGCGAGTAACTCGGAAATAAAACACGGACCAAGTTAGGTAGCTACTCGACAAGGTCGGTACCCGAGTTGCGAGTACTCGCCGAGTACTCGCCGAGTAGATAACCCAGGGTATGAGGAGTGTTTGTGTTCACTTGTGTTTGCTTGCGCTTTTAAGGACTGGTCTGTTTTAGGTTTGAAGTGCTTAAATTTAAGCAGAAGCCACCGGGTTGAAACACTGCTTTTAGCTTTTCAAAACAAAAGACAGAAAAAACACTGTTCATAATCAATGGCAAACATAAAGGCTATCAAGTTAAATTTTATATAAGAAAATGAAGAATGCTGTTAGGAATTTATTTCCCAATCATTTTATGTTATATATTATGCCAATATGTGTTCGACTTATAAATTTTGTGCCTACTTTGGTGCGTTTTATTTTTTGAGATAAAAACGCAAAGCTATTATTTTATTAAAAATAGGGTTAAAAAATTTGAAATGGCAGTTTGAAGATTTTATTGATTAAATTTTTATTATAACAACTAGGCAATGTCATTATCTCAAGTTCTCAACCCACACGTGTGCTGCTTAGCCTAAATAACTTAATTGCTCCCATCACTTATGGTAAAAGCTAGAAAAAGAGCTCTGAATTTGTAGTGTGGAAAAGCTAATTTAACGATGCAAGCCAACGATGAGAATGATTTTAAGCCAACGATGGAAACAGGAAGTCACAGCAACATTGGTGTCTCTTGACAAATTTATCAGTGAGTCGTGCAAGAAAAGAAGTTCCAGTCAACTGCAACACAAGAGATTCTGGAACAAAAGCTGCAATCGAAAAAGGCCATCTAGGTGCTTATTAGGTCATTAGTTGCATCTGGAAAAGGGAGAAATAGGGCTTTTGGAGACTGATTGGTCACTGCGCAGCCAGAAAATAGGACATGTGCAGCACTGCAGTGACTAAATAATGGGTAAAGCCAGAGAAGACTAAGGGGTTGGAAAGTAGGAAAGAAATGGTGTGAATGGGAACGGCTGTTTTCTGATGAAAAATGGAATTTATTGCTGCTGAAAATTGAAGAGCATGTGTGCACAAGGTGTCAAGGCCTGCTGCAAACCACATGGATTTTGAGTATTTGAATCTCAGCTCAAACCATAATAAATCAGAGGCCAGAAAAAGAAAGAAATACCCCTCTTGGGTAATTCTTTGCATATTACAATTTCATTACTAATTCTATAATTTTGATTTTCTTTGCACTGTTTTTTGCCTCTTGGTGATGTGCGCTGGGCAGATGCACTATTGACTCCTTGCAGACACTTGACAGTCAAGACAGCAAGCAGTCTTAATGGGCTTTCCACCTAAAAAAGTTGAGTTCATATCGTGTAGACCATTGGTTCACATATCTAATAAGAACAGATACTACAATTGATCTTAGCAAAAGACCGAAAAGGGTATTTACTTTGCATTGATTTCTAATAATGAGTGGTTAGACCTTTAAGGCTTTGATAGTTAAAATACACTTCCAAGTTACTCACCCTTGTCCACTTGTTTTAGTTATTTATTGGTCAACCAAACTCCACTTTCCTTGAATAATTTTGAATTTTGTTGACTGAGTTTAATTGTACTTTTGAATATTAATTTTAATTACTAAATCTAAATGTTATTTAATAATACTAAATATAATAAAATAATAATATTAATAAATTAAATTGGAAATCTTTGATCTTGCTTCATTACAAGCAAGCATTACAAGTACAGCATCCAAAATAGAGCAGAAGGATTAAAGGTTTATGGTTTGATTTGTGAGGCTTTTGTGCCTAACTATTTATGTCAAGTGTCAACACTTCATAGTTCTATCTGATTTGGATGCATAGTTTACTGTTTAATTGTGATATTGATGAACTATTGCAACATATTTTTTTGGCTATAGACACTCTATTTGAGAAGAACCAGGCGCTTACCAGTCATATCATATAGGAAAAAATGGATATAGTGTTTGCCCATTTGGGAAGTCTTATTTGTGTCGACTAAGAATTCACAAAGCTTAATGTAGTACTCCGTATTAAAAATTCCAAATGTTGGTTATATAGATAAGCAGGCAACACTATGACTTCAATTAGGCTTAACTGGACGCATTTTTACTTTAAAGTAAGTTATTTGGGTTTGGATAATTAAGCATCCATGCATAAACTAAGCCTACTATTGTTATGAACAAATAAATTCTGTGTCAATGACCAAGTAAAACTATATAAGCTAATGCTTGGGATTGGAAACTGGAAAGACCCATTTATATCAGTTATATCAAGCTAAACTTGCATGTCAAATTACATATGAATTTAGTTAGTGTCAAGTCTCTAGTTTTATTGATTTATAATCCTTGAGTAATTTCAGACAAAACACCATGTCTTTATTTTGTTGAAAGCTGTCTGGGCAGTAGTAAACTCAAAACTCCCTTGGAGTACAGTAGTTGTATAGGTGTTAGTGTAACAGTAGCATCCACAGAATAACAACAAAATGAAACAAACAAGAATAGCAATGTATTCAAGAAAGGCCAAAAGATAACACATTTCTTTTAAAAGGATCACATTCATTTTTCTCCAAATAGGACCTATTTACTCCTAAAAGAAGTTTAAATTGTTTTCATTCTTTTATTATGACTGAATAAGTCATATTTTGGGAATAAAACATAATTAGTTCTATTTGGAAACTTGGTCAGGGTAACTTCTTACTAAAGAACTACCGCAACTCCTACAATTGATTACAATATCTTCATGTGGGCAAAGTGGAAATAATAAATACCTTGATTTGCAGCAGCAGCGGCTGCTGCAGCCGCTGCAGCACGAGCTTTCTTTTCTGCATTTGCCATCTCAGCACGTAGCTTTTCCAGTTCTCGAGACATTGAGAGAAAGTTCTTCTGCATAAGTTGACCATGCTCATAGTTTGCCGCATATCCCTTCTTCTCATTCTCAATGGCAGCTCTACAGAACAATCAAAGTATAATTGATCAATAAAACACAAGGCCATATGACACTGAGTAAGAGACGCATTCAGAATGTACCTTGATCGCTGCAATTCCTGTCTAAGATTTTCAATTTCTGCTTTTATAGCTGGAGTTTTTTGCAAATCTTCATTCATCCTAGTCAGATCCTGGGTCATCCCCTGGATCTCAGCTGTAAGACCTTGTTTTTCAGCATTTAACCCTTTAATATCGGCACGTACTCGCATAAGCTCAACCCTCATAACTTCAACGGCTTGCAGATCCATCTCCATCTTTGCGGACTTTTCATGAAGTTCTCTTATCTGCATTCCGGTTTCATCATACAAGGCGCGGGCATATTGATCTGTGCGCTGAAGGTCAAATTGGGTAACTTCTAGTTCCTCTTTGAGCGCCACATGAGTTGCAGAAAACCTTTGATTATCAAGCAGAAACCGTTGAATCTCCGCATGCTGGGCTGCAAGATGATCCTCCAGGATAGCAGGGTGCGGGGGGATTTGTCTGGGAGGCATCCCGTACTGTGATTCTCTCATTTTAAGGTGCCCTGCGGGAAGTGGCTCGTCGAACGGGCTTGCAGCTCAAGTCGGCAGATGTGAATCCGGCGATGATGGCTGTGCTTTCAAGCAAACGTTTATCAAAATAATAACCTAGTTTACAAATTAAGGAGCTAGCCTCTCTTCCCAGCTCCCATAAGGAATTATAAAGGTTTAATTTAATTGAATCTATTATCTATTGACTTATAAATAAATTATATTTAAAATATTTTTTATTGATAAAATAAGGAAAATGTCATATGAAAGTGTAGTCAAGTGATTTTCTACATGACTTCAGTCAATGTATATGGAAAAAGTATTTTAACATTACTTGGTTTGAATATTGCACCATTCGGCGCGTAAAATTAAAAGGTAAGAGAATGTTTAGATATTTTTTAGTTTTTTTCAAAGATTCGGAACACTGGAAAAAGAAAAATAGGAAAATGTGTTTACAAAAAACATTTGCTAGAAAACTCGAGGAAGAAAAACAAAAAAATGTGTTGCCAAATTATTTTCCAAAACAAAAAAATACTCTCTACGTCCCGAATTGAGGTGCAAACTTTGACCGGCACAGGAATTAAGAGATAATAAATTTATTTGGAAGTTCCTATTTTGCCCTTGCCTCATAAAATAGAGAAAGAACTGAAAAGGTGAAATGTACGATTCAAAAGCACTCTAACAGTACCCAACCCGTAGGAAGCATTATATATGCTGAAAGAAGGTACAAAAGCAACGGTCTAAAAGTATATGGGACGGGTGGTACTAGAAAACGTGTAAGGTAAAATTAAGGGCAGATCAGTCATTTTGTTCATACTTCCATACCTTAAATAGAAAGTGAAAAACATTTTGGGATAGTCAAAAATGGAAATTGCAAAACAAATTGGGACGAAGGGAGTAAGACATATATTTGATTTCCTTAATAAATTGGGAAAGTTACTTAACCGTCAAAATTGACATGATAATAAAAATTCTAAACACATTAGGGAATAAATCACCGTCCATTCGAATTTCAAACAACTTTTTAAACTTTTTTAACAATGAAGAAGATGAAAGATAGTACGTGAGGGAGATGAGCAAAGAGGGACGACTAGGGTTTATTTTATCGCCCCATGCTCTCCGGTCTCGACCTTGAACTTCAATTTTTTTAAAGACTTTATATTTGTAATAGCGGTGTCAAATCAAAGATTTTAAAAAGTTAAAAGTTTTGATACGTTTTTTTTGTAAAAGTTGAAGTAAACTTTCTTGCTTTTTTTACCCAGTGTTAATCCACCTTATGGTGGAGACGTGGAGTAAGGGTCGGGGAACGTTAACTGATTTGACAGAGTAGAGAGTGTTACCATAGTTCCCGGATCACGTGAGGATGAAGGGGCGTCAAAGGGAGATAAACCGGGTTGTCCGGAGAAGGTGGGACCTGAATATGGCGTGGAAAGCGAGCCCGCCAGGGGTGGAGAGGGAGCCGAAGTAGATGAGGAGGCAGTCACTGGTGGCGTCGGTGTCCAAGAGAAGGGCTCAGGCATGTTAAACAGACAAAGAGAACCTAACGAAGTCGGCGGCGGCAGATTGAACCTTGAAGCTGAAAGCTGTGGCGACAAAGTAACGCCAGAGGAAGAAGGCAGCTCCGTGCGGAAGGGTGCCTGAGTAGAAATCACTGGCTGGATAACCGCGCCGCTGAAGGTCGACTGCTCCGTCGAGGCGGGCGCCGTGATGACTGCGGACGTCGTGAAAGTTGCGGAAGAGGTCGACGACATAGTTGCTAGGGTTTGGAAAAGACTAAGCTGATGATACCTTGTGAAATAATAATTGTAGAATAATGGCTTACCCCGTGTGGGAGCCCTAGCATTGTATTTATAATGATAATATTAAGAGTAATTACACATAAGTCCTTATAATTACACTATTACACCTTACCCGTTTATTTAAAAAGCTTATCTTTTTGCTTTTTGTTTTAATTTTTAATTTCTTAGTTTTAGTTTTTGCTTTTTTAGTTGTTTTTTTCATTTATGTGAATCCATTTAATGAATTCAATTTTCAGGATACTATTTCATGATTCATCTTGATCATTTTTTCATTGAGAGTAAAATGATAAACAATGTCCCAATGCTCTATGCTAGTGATTGTCAATATTAATAACATTGTCTTTTTTACTAGATTTTATTTAGGGCAATGAAAATAAATTACACACTCAAAGTTTATTACATTATTGTTTATTATGATAGACATGGAATTGCAATGACACATCGACATTTGCTTTACAATCTATAGTGTAATATTATTCGGACAAAATTAGAAATTTCTCCCCATAAAATTTGTAATAAATTAGCAAACATTAAAGTTTTTACTATTAAGAAATTAAATATATCTTTTTGAAAGAAAAAATTAAATATATTAATGATACAAAAATTGCTTTAACAAACATGAAAATGAAAATATGGCATCTAAAGAAATAAAAACGAATGAGGTTGCACTACGTGTCATTTAGATTCTACGGACTATTTGGGTATATTTCGCCTTGGTTAAGGGGCGTGTATAACGTATGCATAAATACGGTGGAGATGACGCCCAACGCCTCTAACAAGTAACAACTCTTTCACCTATCACACACTTGTCTGAAATAATCTCCAGCTCTGAATTTCTCATTTTCTTCTACCTGCATCTGAATTGATCGTGATCTGGATTGCGGAGCATACGGAGTAACTGATCTGAGCTCTACAACTTCTATGTTTCCTAAGTTTTCTCTTTTGTTGTTAATCTCTAGATCTTTTGCGAACCTAAACCGTTGTTAGCATTGTTTCACGCCGCATAGATCTTGTTATTTGCTGTGTTTATTCGTGAATTTCGTGCTCATGTCTGATGCATAATGAAGTTCTGAATTGCTGATGAGTAATGTTCTGGTTTCCTTTTTTTAAATCATGCCGGATCTGATCATATTTGCTTGAGATTATTTTGTCTTCATGCATGTCCTTATTCAGATTAGGTCACCTGCAAAATTATAAAATAATCTCTGGTTAGAGGTCCTACGTTCTGTTCTCATTAACTGAAGTGGTTAAGCCCCACTTTTCAACTGTTTTTGCTGTTACCCCTTAATGTCTGATCTGGCTCATTTCTCCTGAAATGGTTCAATGTAAGCTGTAATTGTAGCGATGCTGCCTATGTATTGTATTTAGAAATTGAAGCCCAGCTCATATTTGTTTGGTTCCCCTGTGTTTCTCTTGAATCTGATCTATTTTTTGAATTTGTTTTGTTCTTATAATTTTTCAATAGGATATCTGTGAATATGGCATCGTACACCCCAAAGAATATCCTGATCACAGGTGCAGCCGGATTTATTGCTTCTCATGTTGCAAATCGACTTGTCCGTAGCTATCCGGGTTACAAGATCGTTGTTCTAGATAAGCTTGACTACTGCTCAAATCTTAAGAACCTCAATCCATCTTACTCCTCACCAAACTTCAAGTTTGTTAAGGGGGATGTTGGAAGTGCTGATCTAGTTAACTACCTTCTCATCACTGAGAACATTGACACAATAATGCATTTTGCTGCTCAGACCCATGTAGACAACTCCTTTGGCAACAGCTTTGAGTTCACCAAGAACAACATTTATGGGACCCACGTACTGTTGGAGGCCTGCAAAGTTACGGGTCAGATCAGAAGATTTATACACGTCAGTACAGATGAGGTTTATGGTGAGACTGATGAAGATGCTGTGGTTGGAAATCATGAAGCCTCACAACTCCTTCCCACAAACCCTTATTCAGCCACAAAAGCTGGGGCTGAGATGCTTGTAATGGCTTATGGTAGGTCGTATGGGTTGCCTGTTATAACTACTCGAGGAAACAATGTATATGGTCCCAACCAGTTTCCGGAAAAGTTAATCCCAAAGTTCATTCTTTTAGCAATGAAGGGAAAGACTCTTCCCATCCATGGAGATGGCTCTAATGTCCGTAGTTATCTTTACTGTGAGGATGTTGCTGAGGCCTTTGAGGTCGTTCTTCATAGAGGAGAGGTTGGTCATGTTTACAACATCGGAACAAAGAAGGAAAGGAGAGTTATTGATGTTGCCAAGGATATATGCAAACTTTTCAACATGGATCCTGAAACAAGCATTCAGTTTGTGGAAAACAGGCCTTTCAATGACCAGAGATACTTCCTTGATGATCAGAAGTTGAAAAATATAGGATGGGCAGAGCGGACTGGATGGACGGAGGGATTAGAAAAGACAATAGAATGGTATACCAAAAATCCTGACTGGTGGGGTGATGTTGCAGGCGCCTTGCTCCCTCATCCTAGGATGCTGATGATGCCCGGTGGGGTAGAAAGACATTTTGATGAACCTGAGAAATGTGATTCTGGATCCTCTGAGTTCTCTGCAAAGCCAAACCAGACACAAATGGTGATTCCAAGTCCTAAGAGCAGGAGCCCATCTCAGAAATCGCCTTTCAAGTTTTTGATTTATGGTAGAACGGGTTGGATAGGTGGTCTCCTTGGCCAGTTATGTGAGAAACAAGGAATTCCCTTTGAGTACGGAAAAGGGCGTCTGGAAGATCGTCTACAGCTTCTGGCTGACATTCAGTCTGTTAAGCCGACTCATGTCTTTAACGCTGCTGGTGTCACTGGTAGACCCAATGTTGATTGGTGTGAAAGTCACAAGACCGAAACAATCCGCACCAATGTTGTCGGTACTCTTAACCTGGCAGATATATGCAAAGAAAATGGTCTTCTAATGATGAATTTTGCCACTGGTTGTATATTTGAATATGATGCTGCACATCCGGAAGGTTCTGGAATTGGATACAAAGAGGAAGATACACCTAACTTCGCGGGTTCCTTCTATTCAAAGACCAAGGCCATGGTATCTCTTTCTCCAGCTCCTGTTGTCTTTTTTCGTTTCCAGACATTATTATAAAAAAAGAATATATATTCAATGCTTTGATCTTTATTTTTTCCAACCAGGTAGAAGAGCTCTTGAAAGAATACGAAAATGTTTGTACACTTAGAGTTCGGATGCCAATATCATCGGACCTCAGCAACCCTCGCAATTTCATCACCAAAATCGCTCGCTACAATAAGGTGGTCAACATTCCCAACAGTATGACTGTATTGGATGAACTTCTCCCTATCTCCATAGAGATGGCAAAGCGTAATCTTAAGGGCATATGGAATTTCACAAACCCTGGGGTTGTTAGTCACAATGAGATTCTAGAGATGTACAAGAAGTACATTGATCCAGAGTTCAAGTATGCTAACTTCACTCTGGAAGAGCAAGCAAAGGTTATAGTAGCAGCTCGAAGTAACAATGAGATGGACGCCTCCAAGTTGAAGAAAGAGTTCCCTGAGTTGCTGCCAATCAAGGAATCTCTGATCAAGTATGTCTTTGAACCGAACAGAAAAACATCGGCGTAATAATATTCTGAGATTTGTTTATGTGTCTTGGGTCAGGCAGAATTTTCATCTTTGTGCATCAGCTTTAATTATTATTTATGCGTAATAACTACACCTGAGATTAGATGATCTCATTTGCTTTAGAATATTGATTGCGTTTAGAGTGCCGCTTCTCTACAATTCATTGTTATTACTTGAGAGTTTAGAATGGTCAGTACTCAGTAGCACATCTTGAGGGGTTCTATACTACATCATCCATGTAGTATGCTATCTTATACTGCCACGTGACTTTGAGATTGTAATTCTAAATATATTACAAGAATATATTTATTCTATTAGTTGGTTTTCTTGGCTGTAAATAGGCCTTGATTTACTTCCTAATTCTGAGATACACAACGATGTTGAAAGCTATCTCAGGACAATTTTTATTTCTCAGTTTAAAAAATAGTTTTCATATTTTGATTCAGGTCACCTCACATGACATGAATAGAAATATAAATGTGGCTACAACAACAACAAATTAATATGAATATCACTACAATTTACAACAAATTAATATGAATATCACTACAATTTACAACAAATTAATATGAATATCACTACAATTTTTAAATTAGTTTTCTTTTATCAGCTTTCATTTTTACATTGCTGTCTTTTTTCGTTTAATTAGAATGATTGGCAAATATCTGATTCCATTGTATAAGGTTCATTTCATTTTAATTTTGTCACAATGATGTTCTATTTTCTTTTTTGAACCTCATTAGTTTTCTACTATTTCCAACTCACCCTGATGACCCTTGCTTGATTTGACACTTTGAAATGTTTTTACTTACTATGAATGGTTAAATCAATTTTAATAATTCCAATTTACATATTCAGAAATTACGTTGAAAATTCTACAAAGTTGCATAATCTAAATTAGAATATAATGAAAAATTGATATGCTAAAGTTGACATATTGAAAAATGATAAAGGAAAAACATATATCAGAATTTATCACATCATAGTATGAGATGGCTTGAGAATATGATGGAATAAAGCAAAATGACTCACTAAATTGTCTGTGCTTCTTTGTCGTGAAGCAGCAGTCAGTCTATGCAATTTTCGACGCGAATTTCACTATGGGTCATCCGGAAACAGTCTCTCTGTACTACTACAGGGGTAAGGCTACGTACATCCGATCTCCCCTTACCCCACCGTTGATGGGAGTCTTTGCGGCACTAGGGTAATGACGAAGAAGATAGTATGAGATGGCTCAAGGCATCTCTATGAGGGATTTTAATACCCATGGAGGTAGGGTACTCTATGAAGGTTGATAGAATGATAGCTATGGATTGATTAAGTTCATTAGCAGTTTGAGTTTTTATGGGTGGATACCCGAGTTGTTCATATGTGTCTACCCTAGTTCAAATCCTGCTCGGTCTAATCATTCACCAATTCACTTTGATCATAGTTCAATACTTCAATTGGTTAGAGCACCACCTCCCAAAGTAAAAGTTGAAGGCTCAAGCCTAAACACTTTCCCCAAGATTGGAATACTAAACAAATATCACTTGCTTTCTTAATACGTGTGAAAAACATATGAAACTTGTATTTTGGTGTGGAGTATGAGTATGTCTTAGGTTATGCAATTTGGGGCAACTTTGATGGTCCAAGTAATGCACTAGCGCATAAAGGGTCTTTGTGATAAATGAGGTGAATTTGTGATTGGAGTATAAAGTTTGTCTTAGAACTTGGCAGATCAACTCATGTACATATAAAGTTATCATTCAAAAACATACTAAACTTTAAAAAATACGCATTTTTCAACTTAGCACCTACCAATGAAATAAGGAGTGGTTTACCGTCCCATTATAAGTTAACATCACAAAGCCTCACAAGGTTATTGAATATTTCATCAAGAAGGGAAGTGGTGCTTGGTGGTTTGCCCTTGAAATCCTCGATGAATATTTCATCATAACACCCATGTTGAAGCTCCAACTGATATTTCGTCTTGCCTAGCAGCTGTCAAACCTAGGTCACAAACCATTTTGCGAGGTTGTAAAATAGATACATTTCTAGTCTTGGGGACCAACCATTGTCACAATGTCACATAGGAAGCGCAATCCATGAACCTTTCGATTTTTATATTCATGACTTCATGTTTCGATAATCTCCTCACCCACGGGCCACGGCAAAAGTGATTGCTGGCAATGTAATGTGCCGAACTTGTCATGACAGTTGTTAGAGTGTTTCAATCTGTTGTATCAAATGGTTTAAGATCGTGTAGTAGTAATGTGACATTAATACTAATGTCTTGATGATACATACAATGGCTTAAACAAATCCTTAAAATGTAGACTTTAGAGAATGTTCTTAGACACGGCTTATCGAATGGATTCACTTGGGAGTTGGGATGATTTAAAGTTTAAACGCGGGGTTTATGATTTCAACATAGTATTTTGTGTAAAAAGGCAATGCCAGAAGATCTCCAAACATTTTTTACATATGTCCTCATAGTTTGAATGATACGGAGTGTTTTTTAAGCGTCAATGTCTAACCCACAAATGACTAGAATGAAGACTCTTAATAGCTTGGACGATATTTTTGTAAGCGTCAAAATTTTAATAGCCCAAGAGTATTCATTGTTGTCCTGTAAAGATTTTTTTTAGTAGATACGCAAATGGATGGGGACCAGGGCTGTTTCAACCAAGTGTAAAGTGTAAACTGGTACCGTGGTACGTAGTCAAACTGATGAACAAATTTGATGTTTGAGGTTTGGGATTCGTTTTTGTCATTAAAAAATCGGCATTGAATATCTTTATCAATTTTACAATTTAAATGTTCAAAAGCCACTGGGGTTTTGTAGTAAATATTCTTGGGATTTTTTTCGCTTTCTTTTTGGAATTTTTTGCTTATCTATCGTATATTCATATGTAGTGGTGGACTCGGGTCGGGCCACCCGGCCCGCTACTGTGCGGGCCCGGGACCGGCCCGGTTCACCAGTCCGGGTATCGGGCTTTGACCCGGCCCGAGGGGGAGACGGTTCTGGGCACGGTGCTGCCAAAATGAGGCCCGGCCCGGTTCAAGCCAAAATCAATTTTTTTTTTGTTTTTTCATTTTTTTTATTCCAACGGGTTGGGCTGGGTGTTTTTTTGGGGTGGGGTGGCGTTGGGGGTGACGGGGGGGGGGGGGGGTCGATGGTTAATTAAAAAAAGCAAAAAAAAAATATAAAAAGGCCCGAGGCCCGGCCCCGGTAGCTATCCGGGCCGGTCCCGGGCCCAACTATTCAGAACCGGCGGCCCACCCGGGCCTAGGCCCGGCCCGGACCCGACCCGGCCCGAATCCACCCCTGTTCGTATATCCAACACATGCATAAATATAGAGAATGAGAAAATCACATCTTTAGTCTCTCAAATAGTACTAATATTGAAATGCATTCCACATGTTTTCAAGTCTGTAATGTAACCCTTCAATTGTCTGAATTGATGTAAATGTAGTCTTCGCCATTTCAGCAATCCACATGTACAACAATTTAAAACTGAGCGATGACATTTACAAATTAGAAAACACGTGAATTACATTTCAATATCGGTACTATTTGAGTGACTAAAAGTACAATAGAATTAATGTCAAAGCATTTGGGGAATGTCATGCTTAGCTTGTGCCTTGTTACTACAACCATCAAAAGGGAGGTATGCCCATCATTTTTCATCATCTGTTAAACCTTCAACCACGAGGGCCCCATATGCCATCACCTTAGAAACTTGAAAGAAGCCAATCTTTTTTAAAAGAAGTAAATCATGAATGTTCCTAAAGAAGCACACTCGCTCCATAAGCACTTCCACAATGTTGTCCACACCAAGACAAAACTATAGCACAAAGATTTTTTGTTCATACACTGTTGCAAATATAAATGAAAGAGAGCTGCACTGTTGAGTTTTAGTTAATTTAACAAAGCTTGCATATGTTACAAGTATAAAACTATAAACTAGAAATAATTCCCCATTAAGAAGACTTGTATGTAATCTGATAGTGTAATTTTACTTACCAAATACACAAAAAAATCAGTTCTTTTCCACGAGAGAGAGAGAACCCTCAAACATTTCTTCTTAGAAGAACCAAAGTGTTTCTGTACACTGTCTAATCATTGCTTCTTTGGAGCATCATTTGTTGCATTAGGATTGCAAAAATGCTGCCCATTATTATGTTGATTATATTCACAGCATCATTGTTTAGCTGAAAACACAAAAGAAGCATGCAGTAAGGCTTAATGATCAGATCACTTGAATGAAAATAACGACTTGAGCAATGACTTACCCATCGAAACCCTTCTTTCTCCTGTAATGTGGCACCTACCAAACTTTCAATTAAGTTGGCTATCTGGGAGGCCACCACACAGATAACTGCTTCAGCTTTATCTATCTGTATAGAGCAAAATTTCCAGTCAGAGCTTGAAACATGTAATGCACTTGCATCTATTTTCAACCTCATAAAGAAGAAAAATGCTACAGCCTACAGCCCAGCACACTATCCATTGACCATCACTTTGAAATTACTAGGATTATGACCATTCCCCATATTATATTGAATTTGATAAACTCTAATTTCAATTTAATTTATGATTTTTCCCCAATATATATTATATATCCCCATGTTAAGACTTAAGTATTTAAACTTATAGGAGGGACATGGTCAGAGATGGGGGGTTGACCTGTTCCGGGACCACAACATATTTCAAGTAACTTTAAAAACTTACATAAGTGAGTTCTTTTTCAGGTTCACCCGAATCCACAACTTTCGGATTCCAGACTACACTACTGAGGGTATAGTGGTTATTTCATAGAATCAGTTTACACTTTAGTGCTTTACACGATGATTTTTGTGTTGAATTACTCAATAAAGAATGTGTTATGTGTTGCGTAACATAACATAACATAAGGTAGACTCAGCAGCCTGTTGTAAGTTCTAAATCATGCCTCAAGTTTCCTAAAAAAGATACCAAATCAATCCAAATTAGAACTCGTAATATTTTTTAGTCTTTTCGGGTTTGCCCCATAGGAAAACATGAAAACACTAAAATGAACAGGTACAATGAGCATGGTTATCAAGATATCATGTGTCATTATGAGCCATACCTGACCCATTATACAAGAAACAGAAGCAAGAATAACTGAAGCTAAAAGTCCAGCAAAAGTCCCTTCAACACTTATACCCCCTTCTGTTCCCCTTGGAACTACCCTCAACGTTGGAATGAGGTATCTGCAATTGAAGTACCATTGCATGTCAGTTTTCAACGCAAAATGAATAAAAAAACTTGTTTCAAACAATCTTTTTGTACCCAAAAAAGGTTTTGCCTCAAACGCGGTTTGCAGTCTAAGAGGGGGATTAGGTGCACATATAAAAAACTTTGTGCCTTGAATATTTGCAGTGGAAGAAAAATAAGTCAAAGACTCAATATGATAAAAGAAAATCGTAAGTTCCTAACACAAATGCTTATTGCTCCCATTCTAAAAAAACTTGTTTGAAACAATCTTTTTTTTGACAAAAAGAGTCAAGGTCGACCAAATGAAGCTATTTTTTATGTACCTTTACATTTAAAAGTATTGTAAAAAGGTCACAGACAAGTTACATATGATAAATTTGGTTAAAGTGACTAGCAAATTTAAAAATATAAAAATGATTCATGATTTTGTTGCAGTTGTACCTGACCAAAATTCTAAGTTTCTACTTAGTCAAACAAGACTTTAAGGGCGTATCACATACTACATAAGTAGCAATATCTTAGGCTTTTTATTTTTCTATGTGATTTTTAATTAACAAATGTATGCATTTTTTTTTTACTCCAAGGGGTCTGGGGGAGGGGGGCTGTGGGGAGCCTGGAGTAATCAGGACTGAAACTCACTCCATTGAGTTTCAAACCTTTATGTGCCTAGCGGGTTTCGAACTCGAGACCTCCCACTAGGCACGATAACCTCACAACCAGTGATCAAACTTCTAGTATATAAATGGTGTCCAGGGTAATATTATATTAAGACACAAGAGAGGTCATGGGCAGTAGTACTGACGTGGTTTTACCATATGCCTTCCCTATCTCACTTGAGACGGTATCACTCAACTTAGTGCAGAAACTAGCTACAAAACCAAGGTCCCATAACCGGGAGAATACGTCCCCACCAATCCTGTTAATTGTCAGGAAAGAACAAATGCAACCAGCCGCACTGGAACCAATCACACTCCCTGGTCCTCTTCTTCCTTTCCTCTTCTCTGCAACACCCTCAGCTTCCTTCTCTGCCATTTTCACTTTAGTCACTCCTGTGCCCTGATAAACTTACATTTGCTCAAACAGGGTTCTTAAATACAAGCAAATGACAACATAATCATTCAAGTATTTTATGCATTCCTCATAACTGTGTTCTGTAAATAACTTGCTTTTTTTTCTCAAGGGGAAATTTATCTATATATGAGTAATATGATCAAAACATATGGTCTTTATCTAAACATGACCACCAACACAGCATTTCTTTTTTTTTATCTTTCATTATGTAATGATCTTCTTTATTCAATTTCTTGATTTTCTTTATCTATCACCAAATAAATAGCATCTTAGGATTAAAAACATAGCAGCCATATTTGAAGAAAGTAATTTTGCTTTAGTCTTAATATGAACTATAATTCCTTCCTCAAATTCAAAGATAGCCATAAGGATTTCAGAATGAACAATGGCTAGCATATCATAATAGTTCTTCATAAATAGCAATGTGAAAACTGAAAAGGCAGAATGCAAAACCAAAAAGAAAGTGCAAGGATATTTATGAAAAACTCTTACATAAACATCAGTTTGTTTGAGTCTAGGTCTTTCTATATTTGATTATGTATTCCTCGTTTAAATTAGTACTTCACGAATGAAAAAACTTAGGTTTTTGGAGAACCTTCACTAATCCAGCTTTGGGAAACTCCTAAATCGAAGTTTTAGGAGGATATAAGTTTTTCTCGTGCGTAACTTTTGAATGCTCAGCTAACTTAATCTCCCTTCATACAATATTTTGCATCTAAAGGTCAATCATATTTTACTGCAATTCACACCTTAATCTCAAATGTAGCCCCCTCCCTAAGGAATGAAGAAGAAAGATTTAACTTTGGGCTTACAATTACGAAATATGTTGCCAGGAGAAGAAAGCCAGAGGGTCCAAAAGCGCGCCAGGTGAGAACTCCGAGCATGAAAGCAGCCACTATGCCTGAAAAAGACAGCCCAGTGACCAGAACTGGGCTACCCACCATCAAAAAGATGATGTTGCTGAGAATGGCAGACTGCCACGTGGGCGGTGAGGCTCGGAACATCGCTCTCTGGATCAGTCCCAGATCAATCAGCGCTTCTTAGTCCATGAATATCCTGGGTTTTCGAAAAATTAGAAGTCAACAGAGTTTACCGGTGAGGAAATTGAGAGATTCGAAGAGAGGATCGGTCGATCGCGCTAGTCTAACCTCGCCACTTTCAAAGTTCAATCTTCTTTCCCACGCATCAAATGGACTTGGAGAGTCATAAAACCGCTTCTCATCCTGAGATTTTTTCCAAATTAATGCTGAAAATAATCCTGGAAAAAAAGATTTTTTTCCAAATTAATGTTGGGTTAAAACTATTTCTCATTCTACCGCCCGTGCTAACTTAGGTTAACAATATACTCATCCGTGAGTAAAATGTCAGTTTGGTCCTCAAAGTTGCATAAAATGGGTCAAATAAGTCCTTATATAGGAGGTTCTATCCGGCCGTCGCCATTTGGGGCGGTTCCTGGTGAAATTTTTTGAGCATCTTATTCATTAAGTCTAGTTCACTTATACCAAATTTCAGATAAAAATTCATTCGGGAAGACATTCAAATGAATTATTGAAGATCATTGTGCAGTAAAAAGGCACCATCTGGAGAAGCATAAAGGCACCACAAAATTGGAGAAGAGGTATTGGTGGGACCCAACAAAATAGAAAATACCAATTTTTAAAAAAATGTTGTGACTTTTTTATTTGTACTCTGATTGTCACAAAAAAATATATCAAAATTCATAATTTTTTATTAGCTTTCGTATGAAAACAATATTATATATATTAAAATTTAAAAAATAATTTTGAGTTTATTTTTTTAAAATTGTTTTTGAAAATGTTATAATTTTTTTTATTTGCACTCTGATTATTTTAAAAGATTTCTCGAAATTCATAACATTTTATTATATTTTATATGACACTAATATTTCATATGTAGGAATAAAAAAATAATTAGCACTTTCAAAAATCTAGTTTTTAGAGTGTTGTACATATATTCTTATTACTCCCTCTGTATTAGTTTATCTGTCTCATGCACTTTTCTTTTTGGCACACATCTAATTAATTGCCTCATTTTTTGTGAAAAAACAACTCACGCAAAAATCAATTGTAAAGTGGTATAACAATTCATTTGTACTCTAATTGTTACAAATAATATATAAAAATTCATAACTTTTTGTTACGTTTTATATGAAAACAATATTGCATGGTTATATTTTTTGTACTCCAATGCATTGTACCTCATTAGTATAAATTTCCGAGTTTTTTTAAGTCTCATATGAAACCTTATCTGTTAAAAACAACTCTTAACATGAAATATTGGTTTCATATGAAATGTAAAAAAATGAATTTTGATATATTATATGTAACATTGGAGTAAAAATAAAAAAGTCATAACACTAAAAAATTGAAGTTTTTTTGAAGTGATAAATTATTTTTTAATATGTATAAAATATAAGTTATGAAAAATAATACTCCCTACGTCCCAAAATGAGAGTCTCATTTCTTTTGGGCAAAAATTTTAATAAAGTCATTGAAAAGGTAAAAGTTGTGGTTGAGATTTGAGTAGAAAAAGGTGAAACGATGAGTACCACATCTTTTTTTCCAAAAAGGAAAACATGACCATCATTTTGGGACATCCCAAAAAGTAAATACGAGACCATCATTTTGGGACGGAGGGAGTAATTTGTTATGAATTTCATTAGCCAGATGAAATATACCAAAATTCATAACGACTTATTATCTTTCACGTGCCACTAATATTTCATACATATTAAAAAATAATTTAGCACTTAAAAAACTTCTATTTTTAAAGGGTTATAATTTTTTTAGTTGTACTCTAATGTTACAAATAATATATCAAAATTCATTTTTTACATTTGATATGAAACCAATATTTGATGTTAAAAAGTTGTTTTTAACAAATGAAGTTTCATATGAGACTTATAAAAGTCGCAAATTTAAACAAATGAGTTACAATGCATCAGAACTACTTTCTTTTTAACCATGCAATATTGGTTTCATAAGAAACATAACAAAAGTTGTGAATTATTATATATTATTTGCAACAATTTGAGTACAAATAAAATGTTATAAAAATTTACAAAACTGTAGTAGAAAGGTGGCGGTACTATATTCATTCTATAGCTGCTTTTGTGTGTGTTTTTTTCAAAAAATAAATGAGATAATTAATTTGATACATACCAAAAAGAAAAGTGCATGAGACAGATAAACTAATATGGAGGGAGCAATAAGAATTTATGTATTTTGATATATTTGTTTAGACCATCGAAATACAAAAAAAGGTACAATACTCTGAAAAATAGTTTTTTGAAAGTGCTAAATTATTTGTTTATTCTTACCTATGAAATATTAGTGTGATATAAAAGATAATAAAATGTTTTGAATTTCGGGGAAAATGGAAACTAATAATCCAACCTTTTAGCGATCTTCTTTTAATAGTCCGACATTTTCGTTATTCATGAATAATCCAACCTTTGCACCTCATCTTCATTCATTGGTCCCCGACCGGTTGATGATCTGCTATTTCGAGTTGTTTTCTCATCTCTGCAAACTATTATACCATAAATTCCATCTTTCACAAAGATAATATTTTGCAAAGATAAGAAAATAACTTGGAATACCAGGTCATCAACCGGTCAGAGACTAGTGAATGAAAATAAGGTGCGAAGATTGGATTATTCATGAATAACGAAAAGGTGAGACTATTAAAAGAAGACCGCTAAAAGATTGGATTATTAGTTTTCATTTTCCCTTGAATTTCGACAATTTTTTTAAAATAATCTGAATACAAATAAAACAATTGTAACACTTTCAAAAACAGCCTTTCTTTTAAATTACAAAATTATTCTTTTAATTTTTATACATACAATATTTGTCTCATATGAAAGAGAATAAAAAATTATGAGTATTGATATATTTTTTGTGACAATCGGAGTACAAATAAAAAAGTTAAAACATTTTTTATAAAAAATGATATTTTCTATTTTGTTGGGTCCCACCAATGCCTTTCTCCCACTTTGTGCTGCCCTTTGTTCTTCGTCGTACTGGGCTACTAGCGGAGTAGCAGATGAGTTGGCGATCATGTTAACCTTAGTTAGCATAACACTACATTGGACATTGGGAAATAATTTTAACCCAACATCAATTTGGTAAATACTTTTTTATTCAGCATTAGTTTCGCAAAAATCTCTCTCATTCTAAGTTGAAGTGTTTGGGGGTGATGAATGCAAAAGTAATGTTGTAATGAAAGTGTTAGTAAAGGCTAGAAGGGAAGTGTAAGGGGCTGTTTACTTTTTCACATTAAGTCTTGAATAGATTAAAACGTTTGTCTGCATTAAGCTATCTGTCTGGGTTAAGTGACATTGAGGTTTACTAAGTGTGTTGAATGAGAAGTCTGAATCATGTCAAATGACCAAATAACCCTTTTGCCTGGAATAAATGCAGAATGTACATTATTGTTTACTTTCTTTGTTCTGAAAGATAATTTCACATGCCTAAAAATAATAATGGTATGAATTACTTAAATAAAATTTTCACATTACGTGATAAGAATAAGTCAAGAGTTTTGCGAAAACAACATTTGAACTTAAACATTTCCTAGTAGTCCATTAGTGATGCCATCCCACAAAGTCGTCATGTGTTGTAGACTTTGCATACCACATTGTGCCCCTGCACTTCTTATCCAATATCTTTAGCTTGCTCTTGCTTCATTGTTGATTATAGTGTCATTATCCCATTCAATGAAAAATCATCGATGTTGTGCATGAGAATCAAATCTGATTACACCTATTAAAATTTAAATCAAATTTAACTTAAAATTTATCAAATGTAGTAAAGAGTTCAACTTTATATAGGGCTGGGACCGGTTCGGTTCTTACTCAAAATGAGTGGAACCGTTATAAAAGTTTTAACTAATGAAATCGGTTCGGTTCCTATATAAAAAATCAAGAACCGTTATGGAACCGAACCGGTAGTAAACGGTTCGGTTCTTCCATTTACCGGTTCCTATAATAATTTTTTCACGTCTAAGAATTAACACATAATTTTAAACACGTCGAAAATTCAAAACACGAGTATTAAAATTTTATTTGAAGCTCTAATCACTTCATACATCAAAGCTCAAACTTAACTAATGAACTTTGAACACTTAATAGAAAAAAAGTGATTTAGATTTTCATGTAATAAATGAAACATTAAAAATCATTGTAGTGTCGGAGCGATGAAGGTTAATCGTCATCATAGTAGCAAGAATAGGACGCATACTTCAAGTCGTTCAAAACATTAAAAAAAAACATTGAGTTTGCATGTATAGATATAAAAAAACATTATTACATTCTATTGATTCATAATAAATCTAATAATTAGAAATATCATGAAAATAGTAAAGTAAAATATGTGCAATCAACTACAAGTTATTTGGGTTATGTTATATTTATAAAATTTATGTGATGGAACAAAACTTGATTTGTAGAAAGGAGTTTAATGTATTATATCAACCGCACGTACAATATTTATTACTTCTTTTCTATTGATTAAATTAGAATTGTTAGTTAAATGTCTTATATTGTTTTATTATTGTTGTTGTGGTGGTGGTTATTATTACTATTATATTATTATCGTTATTGTTACTACTACTACTACTACTACTACTACTACTATTTTATTTTTTATATTTTTTAATAACGGTTCCTTAACGGTTCCATGCACATATTTTTTATACGAACCGGGAACCGAACCGTTATAACCCGCTTCGGTTCGGTTCCTACAAATGAGGCATTAATTGTTAACGGTTCGGTTCCTAGATGTTGTTAACGGTTCGGTTCCAATCGGTTCTACGATTCCCGGTTCCAAAATCCCACCCCTAACTTTATATGTGCTCAAATATGTATGAAAAACACCTATTACGTAAAGAAAAATGTGCAAAAGTGACCTGCGCGGAATGCTGAAAAAAATGCCTTAAAGCAACCCTAAAATGCATATATTATCTCCATGGGACACAGATATAACATGCCAACCAAATGGACAAAAAATCTACTAAACTTTGTAGGAAAAAGATGCTATGAAAGTATGAAACTAGGGGGGAAATGGAGTAAGTGACATGCTAAAACTAAAAACATATGAGTTAGTATAGCCAAAACATGCACAAAATGAACATTGTTTATTCTTACATCAATTTTGGGAAGCAGCACCTTACTTCACAGATCAAACAAAGAAAAAAACAAAATCAATTTCAAATGAACACTTTTGGTCAGACTTTTGTGTGGAAAACCAACCAATTTAGCACCAAAAAAATTATGAACATCTTAAGCCCCTTAATTTACTATACTAGCTAACCAGAATTCATTGCATATTATCTCTCAGAGTACGGGCAATCATAATAGTATATTTGTTTCAAACGCTCAGTAAATGAAGATTGAAATACGGTGAGCATATATAGATGGATTTGCTATTTGCGGTTGTTGCCTTTAGCTTGCTCATCAAACCCACTAGTTTCTGAAGATGCATCTTTCAGTAATTCAGTTATTAGGGCTCCACTGGCCCTGATCATTGAGCAAGTTTAAGACCATATGTATGAACTTTGGAGCTAGGGCTATGCTTGAGTATGAAATTAAATATATCGATCAAGAAACAATTAATCAGGTAATCGATAAGGGAGCAATCATTAACTATTGAACATATTCAAGGAGAGACTCTACAGAATAAATAAAAAAAGAAGGATAAAATAAAAAAATAAAAACCGTATAGAATGAGAGGAGATATATAGGGTGAATGTTAAGACCCGGGGTTCTATCCTAAATGGTCAACCTGATAGGAGTAGACCAAAGCCTTATATAGTGTTTTATTGTTTTATAGCTTTCCGGTGTGAGACAAATGTTTTAACAGTGAAGGAGATGACAGAATTCTCTGGCCGAAGAAGGTTGGCGTATCGGTGAAGGGCCCCACTCTTCTGTTCCCTTAGAGCTTTGCCAGAGGAAGCCATGAAACATAGAAGAAGAGAAGCAGGGTTAAAAAAGAGAGTCTTGTGTAGCTGATATGTCTGAACCTTAAGGAGTATCAAATTTGGGCTGAGCGGTTAAGTCACATGTGGACTGAGCGAATAAGTCACACTTTTCATTACTCTTGAGTCTTGTCATCTTTTTGGAAAAAAACGAGGTTTGAGAGTTAAAGTCACTGGAATGATCGACACCACAAAAAATGTGTCTATATACAAACACTGACTTCTTTTGTGTCTGTGTGCCTAGATAAAATATTTAAGAACAAACGAAATGTACAATTTTTTGTGTACAAAAAATTAATGTTTGTATACGAACACTGGTTTGCGCGTTGCTTTGCAGAAACATCAGAGCTTGGTTGCATGAAAATCAATGTATGTGCGTAGACATTATTTGTCTGCACACATACAACATATAGTTAAAAAAGTGGTGTGTATGTAGTTAACAAGATGTTTACACTTACATTTTTTGTATGTGTTGAGTATTGGTGGTCATTTTTTTCATTCCCGTCCAACTACTTTTGATTTATTCCGTTCGTCCTCGTTTACATTAGAGCTTTATGTTGGCCCAGAAGTACACAGTAATCCAAGTGACACCACATTTGGAAATCACAAACGTATACAAACGTTCATATATAAACTTCAAGCGAAGCTTGTGCACTAGGGCTGGGACATAGAACCGAAAATTGGGAAAACCGATCCGAACCGAACCGAAATTTCCGGTTCGGTTCCTATAATTTTGGACTTCCATTTTTTTTCGGTTCGGTTCCTATAGTCTTTCATCGGTTCGGTTCCAGTTCGGTTCCGGTTCCTAGCCAGGAACCGAACTTCTCATACATTGCATGAGTAATCTTCATTTGAGGTGTTTCCGGGTGGTATTTTTCGATGAAATTTTGTGAGTTTGTTTTCTATTAAATAAAGATTATGTCCACTAAATTTGAGCTTAATATGCAATCGGTAAGTTAGTTAAATAAATTATTGAAAAACACTATGCCAAAATATATATATATATATAACGCAATTTTTTCAATATTTTATTAACTCACTTCCCGATTGAATTTCAAGCTCAAATTTGGTATATGTAATCTACATTTCATGTAGAACATGCTCACAAAACTTTATCAAAAAATTCTTCACGGAAGCACCTCAAATGAAGGTGGCCAGGCGGCGTTCCGGGCAAAAAGTTCTTGTCAAGAATATTTTTCTTGCATAATATACCTTATATATTGTGGACCACGCCAATCCGAGTAGTTATCATTTTAATATTTTAGACCATTTTTATATTTATTGTTTGTTTGTAATTGAATTTGTTACTGGAGTTCACTACAAAAAAGAATTAACATCCTGTTCATTACGCTGTTTATTACTATGTAGTTTTTACTTATTGTGCATTACCAGAAGAAGAATATTATTTTGGGGTTGAACTACCTGCTATTGGATGTGTACTTTGGGCTATTGAACCTTTTTACTTGACAGTTAATGCCTATTTTAAATTGAGATTTTTGTTATGTTTAAATTTAATGTTGCACTTGGATATTTGAACATTGAGATATCATGCATGTATAATGTAATGGTCATAAATTCGTGATTTAAAATTTGAATTTTTTTACGTGACTGAAGTGTGTTGATTTCGGGAGGATAATAAATTTTTGTTAGGAACCGAAAAAAGAACCGAACCGAATTTAACTAGAACCGAACCGAATTTAACAACTACATTTTTAACTAGAACCGAATCGAATTTAATGTCTATGATTTTTATATGGTTCCATCGAATTTTAACAAGAACCGAACCGATCCCAGGCCTATGGTGCACGTATGATTTTTAAGGTGATAAGCTTTTACTATTTGTACAAAATACATGATAATACGAAGTATGTAGTATTAATAGGGGTAAATTCGAGCCATGTAATGAAGTAAAGCCTCCAGAGTAGAACTATATTTGAGCTTGACTTTGAATTTTTTTAACTATTCAAACTCGGGTTCGAGTTTGATCAAGTGATGAACTTCATATTCGATTAAGGGAGTGTTTGCAATTGCTTCAACTTTAAAAAAATGATTTTTAAAAGTAATTTTGGGAAAAGTGATTAATAATAAAAGTTGGTAGTGTTTGAGAAAAAAGTGATTCTGAAAAAGTAAAAGTTGGTAGTGTTTGGTAAAATAAGTACTTTTTGTGTAATAAAAAAAAGTGAGAAGCAGTTTAAAGCACTCTTCTACCTGCTTCCAGCTTTTATCTTTTAAGTGATTAATTTAAGCAGAAGATGTCATTTGAAAACACTATTTTCAGTCTTTTTAAGCCAAAATCGTTTTTTAAGCAATCTCAAACACTCCTTAAACAGGGTACAAAATGACTCAAAACTTGACACGAAGAACTCAATTTTTTCTGCGAGCCTTTTCAAACCCAAGTACTCATATAATCACCAAATATATGCTCAGTTGATGACTCAATGCCTATGGAGGCTTTATTAACTACTCCCTCCGGTTCTTAATTAAGTTCCTAGATTGACTTTACACATATTAGGAAATACATTTGACTTTACTGTGGAGTGCACTGTTTAGACACTGTTTGACACTGTTTGAATACTGTTTGGCACTGTTTTGGTGTAAATCATTTGCCAAATAAGGAAAGGTTTGAAGTAGGAACGTAATATTAATCATCCCAAAAAGGAAAGTAAGAACTTAATTACGAGATGGGGAAGTACTTTACAATTCAGCCAAAGCCCAAAAGTTGCCAAAAGATTAAGGCTTTGTTTGCAACCACTTGTACTTAAATAAAAGCACTTTTTGATAAAAAGTGATTAGTAGTAAAAGTTGGTAGTGTTTGGTAAAATAAGTGCTTTTTGTGTAATAGAAATAGTAAAAAGTAGATTCTACACGGAAGCCGAGAAAGTAAAAGTTGGTAGTGTTTGGTAAAATAAGTGTTTTTTTCTTTAAAAAAAGTCAAAATCACTTTTTCTTAAGTGGTCGCAAACAAAGTCTAAATACACTAAACACAAAAGTTGATACTAGACCTCCAAAACAAGAAGCTAATAAGATATGATCTAACATGTACTCCAAAGAAATATGAATGTATATTACTTCAACGAGTAATATGTTTGCAAATAAGAACTGCACTTCAAAGTTTCAAAATCAACACTTCTAATGTCCATTATATTAAACTTTAGTTTTATTATATTAAACTTTAGACATTACCTTGACCCATTTAACACTATATATAAACTAGACTCGATACCCGTGCGTATTCAGATTATATGTAAATAAGTATAATAATATACGGTCTAATTAATTTAATTATTTTTAAGGATCACCAACCAGGGGCGGATCCAGGAATAAGGGGTGGGGTGGGCTAAGCAGTAAAAATTTTCGTTATTGCATACAAAAAGTTTAGCTTAAGACTGATAGTTATTGGACTGAGTTTTTTTCGAACTACTCGAGTTCGATCGTGATTTCGAATTTAATTTACTGACCAAAGCTTAACGAGCTTCAATCTCGAACATGGACTCGAGCATATTCATAACTTATAAATTATAGAAATAAACTAGTATATACTACCTCCGACTTTTATTAAGACTAGTTTGACTTTTCAAGTCAAAGAAGTTAAACTTTGAATGGCTATATATTTATACAATAAAATTGATAATATGAAAATGAAATGGAAATGTTCTTTGTTAAAAAGTTTATCATAAAAGTATAAATTTAGTAAGTTTCACATTAATACATGAGTTAAAATGATGGATCAAAGTTTACCATCTTTGAGTAAAGAGTCAAAGATGGCTAAATAAAATGAGACAGAGGTAGCATATCTAAAATTTAAACGTTTTTAGTGTGATTTATAATTTTATTATTGATTATTAAAGATTTTAGTATTTATTGATGTGAATTAAAATACTTCTATAAAAGTATAAAACTAATAAGTAAAAATAGTCGATGTACATAAAACTAATAAGTATTCACAATTTTAAAATTGAATTGAGATTTTGAATCCATTCTTACATGCCTAAACAGTAAATACATCGTTCTCTATTCTTTAATTGCATTACAAATAAATCATTTTCTAATCTTTAATTCTATCTTTAATCATTATAAATTTATAATAATAAATAAAAAATATTTTACTATCTACTGAAAAAATTCAATTAATAATCAAATAGAATTACAAAGTTGATAGGCTTGGGCTGGGCTAGACATTAGTTTTGAGGTGGGCTGGAAATTAAACCTATACCTATAATAATAAAAATAAATTGGGCTGGGCTGGGCTGGGCTGGAGCCCACCCCTGCCCCAACATAGATGATTAGATCCGCCCATGTCACCAACCTCGAAGAAATCTGTATTGTTAAATAGTCAAAAAATTTAAGTTTGTTTAAGTTTGGTTTGTTTTTGTTTGGTCTGGTATAGTCTAGGACTGAAAATAATCCAAGTAAAAATATTTGTACTTTTTCTCATAAGGAAAGGCTTTACGCAATATATTTCTCTTAATTGTTATCTTGTTGATCACTTGTAAAATAATGTCACTTTACCGTTTTATAGGTAATTTGTTCTTTACGTTAAAATAATAGACACTCAAGATGTACATATATATTACTCCATCCATCCCATTGAAATGTATTACATCTAATATCTAGAAATTTGTTGACTTGGTCATATCTGATCTGGTATGGTCTAAACTGGTCTGGTCTAATAAATGTCTGTTCTCTGTGTACTTTTTAACTATGGAAATCGTCTGGTCTGTTTAAAGCAGTGTTTGTGGTTGCTTAAAAAAACGCTTTTCAGCTTTTGACTTTAAAAAAGTTAAAAAGAGTGTTTTCAAATGACAACTTCTGTTTAAATTAATAACTTAAAAGCTAAAAGCTGGAAGCAGGTGGAAGGGTACTTTAAACTGCTTTTCACTTTTTCTATTACACAAAAAGTACTTATTTTACCAAACATTACCAACTTTTACTTTTTCAGAATCACTTTTTTCTCAAACACTACCAACTTTTACTATTAATCATTTTTCCCAAAATCACTTTAAAAAATCACTTTTTCAAAGTTGAAGCAATTACAAACACTCCCTAAGTCTAGTTTGTTCTGATCTAGACTGGTCTAGTCTAAGACTGAAAACAGTCCAAGTAAAAATATATGTACTTTTTCTCATAAGGAAAGACTTTATGCCATATCTTTTTCTTAATTGTTATCTTGTTGATCAATTCTAAAATATTGTCACTTTACCATTTTATAGCTAATTTGTTCTTAACGTTAAAATAATAGACGTTCAAGATGTACATATAAATTACTCCCTCCGTCCCATTGAAAGGTTCACATGAGTAAATGACACGATTATTTAGACATGTGGTTAAATAAAGTAATTTGGGGTCCCGTTGAAAGGTTCTCATGGGTAAATGACACGATTATTTAGGCATGTGGTTAAATAAGGTGATTTGGGTAAAAAAAATAAGAGGAAAGAAAATTGCTAGAAAAAAGTTGCTAGTAATAAATATATAAAGTGAAAATAATTAAAGGGAGATAAGTTGGGGAAGGAGAAATTGTGAGACTTGACATGTAATGAGCAGGAAAAAGAAATTTGAGTAAAAGTGTATTTAAAGAGAGTAAATTATTTCTTAAAATGAAACAGGAACCTTTAAACGGGACACACAAATAAGGAATGTGAGAACCTTTCAACGGGACGCATGTAGTATCATATTTTATGAGATTATTCTCGTTAGAATTATTAATGGAAAATAAGTTTATTAATGGAATTAAGTTTATTAATTTGTAGGTAAATATGATATGAAAATAAAGTTGCAGTATTTTTGTAAAGATCGGCAAATCAAACTCATTTTAAAAACTTCTTACCATTTTATAATAATACATAAATATAAATACAAATAAAACAAATTAGAGAAAATATTGGTTACCAAATATTTTGCCTAAAATATTAGTGGTAGTGATATAGAATTTATACGATTGAATATAATGTTAATCCATACACCATATTAGCTATATATCATAATTAATGAAATTTACTCTTTATAATTTATTTTACTCTCTCCGTGGTGTAAATAATTCCGACATTGCACTTCTAATTTGAAATTGCATGCATATTTAGGATGTTTTTACTTGGACTGTAATTTGTCCCAGACCAGACCAGACCAGTCCAGACCAGACCAGACCAGTCCAGACCAGACCAAACCAGACTTGGATAATTATAAAAATACAAAGAAACCAGACCTTACCAGACCAGACCAGACCAGTTCAGACCAGACCAGACCAGATCAGACCAGACCAGCAAATTACAGTCCAAGTAAAAACATCCTTATTGTTACCTTCATCCATTTTTTTTGCAGATTACCTTCATCTAATTTTACGTGTCTTGTTTTGGTTTAGCACGATTATTAATAAAATGGTTGAAAAATTAAAAGTTGTGATTAAGATTTGAGTAAAATATGGGCAATGTAACACTTACTTTGGGACGGGATATTACTATATTAGGATATTGTATTATTTTCTAGTTTATCTTATGTTTGGAACATTCTTCTAAAGTCTAAACCTATTATAGTATCTGCTCAGGTTAATGTCAGCATCCTTGATTGGGATGAGACTCGAACCTGCGACCTCCTCAATAATATTTTCTAGTTTATCTTATTTCCTTGTGCATGAGTAATATCTTATACGTATTCAATATTAAACGCATGTTATATTGAGGTTCCAAAAAAACATAATATTACTCTATTGCATTTGTTGCACTTAATATTACATTTAATATCTGGGAAAACTGTCAAATAGGTCCTCGAATTTTCATAAAAAAGTCAATTAAGTCCTTCTATAGGAAACTTTGTCCAGTCGTCGCGATTTGGGGCGGTTCCCGGTGAAATTTTTTGATGAAATTTTTTGAGCATCTTATTCATCAAGTCTGGTTTACTCATACCAAATTTCACCTAAATATTCAATCGGGAGCGCATTCAAATTAATTCGAGAACGCAAAAATGCGCAGTTATCTTCAAGAATTAATTTGAATGTGTTCCCGATTGAATTTTTAGCTGAAATTCGGTATGAGTAAACTAGACTTGGTGAATAAAATGCTCAAAAAATTTCATCAAAAAATTCCACAGGGAACTGCCCCAAATCACGACGGCCGGACAGAACCTCCTATAGAAGGACTTAGTTGACCTTTTTATGAAAGTTCGAGGACCTATTTGACTGTTTTCCCTTTAATATCTAGATGTCAATACAATAGCTCTTGAGGTTCCAAAGATTAATGTGTACATGTATTACTTACTATATATAAACTTTAGTTTTATTATATTAAACTTTAGACATTACCTTAACCCTTTTAACACTATATATAAATACTTGTATATAATAGCCCTTCCGTCCTATTTTAGTTGTGCTAATTTCTTTTTTGTGAGGTTGTTTAAGTTGAATATTTGTCGAGTCATGGATTGAGTAGCTTGCGAGCTACTTGTTCAGTACTTGAATATTTTGCAGGCCTACGTAGTACTCCGTAATTATTAATTCATTTACTAGCATTATAGTTGACACAAAGGTGATGAGACGAAAAATATATGAAGCACATCCGCATAAGTTAGGTGAGCATGTTACCGGTATGTGAGAGGATGTAAATCATGATGACTCAATCAATCTTAACGGTGGTAGACCTTATATCCACGTGCAAGAATGGCCTAATCCAGCAAATGATCAAGGATTTTGATCCTTGATCATTTTCCAACTTTCCCACAATTCCACCGTTTTACCAGTTGAGCTACTCATGCCGGTGCTGAGCGTGTTACCTGATATGTGATGAAGAATATCATTAAAAAGCAATAACAATACCTATATTGAGTCTTTGTAAAACAATCTATTGGGGTGAATATATTGATTTCAATTTCATTGAATCGAACCATGCCAAAGTGAATCGAATCAAAATCGAATCATATACAATTTGATTTGAGTTCTTTAGCATTTCTTTCAAATCGTATTAAATAAAATCTAAACAATGACAAATCCGAACAAATTTTAACCATGGGACGATTCAAATCTATTGGAGCGTGGACGGTTAACCATGGGGTTTAAGGGAGTTTCAAGTGGGTGGCCAAATATAGTCGAAATAAGTGGATTGTGTGTTAATTTGGTCTACTTAAAAGCTTAATGTCTAATTCGAACTTTGTAAATTGAACCAAACTAAACATAACCAACTAAAGCCAAATCAAAACATTTTATTCCTTTATTTGATAATAATTATATTCACATCGAACAGAACGGAATAAAAATCGAACCGAAATTGATATGCCACTAAATTGCACCAAGGTGAAGGTACTCCCTTAAAAGCGCGAATTCAGATCCTCGGCCGTGCGGCAGATGTCCCTTGCAGGCTTGCAGCAACGAACAAGCCGAGCTCTAAAGCAGAGACTCCGAATCCTAAAAGCACACTTCTATATTTTCTAAGATGATCCCTCCCCATCATCTTCATCACAATCACATATTTATACTTGACATCTCTTGGATTAAGGAGGCCAAGTTGAGAGCAGAAGAACCACCAGACTCCTGGATCGCCATGCGAGCCAGTTCACCCGCCTCCCTCGCCTTCCTCCTCATCTCTTTCCCTTCCTCTCCCATTACTTTCTCCACTGCTCTCTTTATGTCATCCTTCTTCACCAAAACTTCAACCTCTTCTTCTTCTCCCCACTTGACCGGCACCTCCGCCCCCACGCTCACCCCCACCCCCAAAACCTGCACCACCAGTTTCTCGTTACAGAATTGCTCGGCGAAGAGCGGCCACGTTGCCATTGGCACGCCGGCGGCGATCCCTTCCAGCACTGAGTTCCACCCGCAGTGGGTCAAGAACCCGCCGACCGATGGGTGGGAGAGGATCGGGATCTGAGGAGCCCACCCGCGAACCACCATCCCCTTCTCTTTGTTCCTTTCCTCGAACCCGGTCGTGGCAATCCATTCCTCTATGCGGCTCAGATTGCGGCCTCTTCCCAGCACCCAGATGAAGGGTCTCCCCGTTGATTCCAATCCCTGGCCCATGTCCGCCATCTGTTCGACATTTGGCCTAGCCAAGCTTCCCAGGCTTGCGTACACTACAGATTCTGGCTCGTGGGATTCCAGCCACTTGAGGCAGTCTTGGTTAGTCGCGGCGGTCTCGTCGCCTCTCACGGCGGCGTGGTCTTTGTCGTCCGCCGAGCTGTATAAGGAAACAGGGCCGATGCACCATACTTTCCCCTGTTTCTCCTTGCGATACTCTCTGGCATATTCGGGTTCCAATTCCTCGAAGCTGTTGACGACCACGCCGTATGTTGCCTTCTCGGCGGCCAGAAATTTCTTCTTGAATTCTTCCATTAGAGCGTAATTTGGAGTGCCGTGAGGAGTCTTCTTCGAAGAGCTCGAGACCTGAGCTTTCGTGAGCTCAACCATGTCGGGCACATCAGGGACGACGAATCGGTCCGAATCGGACTCCAAACTGTCAAGAATCTTGGATTCCATTATTCTGTGATTGCATAGGAGGGAGAAGCAGCACGTTCCATGGAAAACAAGGCGGGGGATGTTGAGACCCAGAGCGATCTCCGCCGTCCACGGCAGCCCCATGTCTGAAATGAGGCAATTCGGCGGCGGATCAAGCCGTTCCAGCACCTGTTCCGCCTCTTGCCGGAGCGAGTTGATGGCCGCCAAGAATTTAGGCGCCATGTCCAGGGAAGGAAGCAGGTCGATATTCTCGCACCCTTCAGGCAACCCTGATTCTGAGGTGGGGAATCTGAGCTCGAGTACTTGGATTTTCAGGCCGGAACTTACGGCACGAGACAGGGTTGATCGGAAGCGGTTGGCGTTGACGGGGGTGGTTAAGATGGTGACGGCGCCGCCGCAACGCTGGGCTAGTAGCTTGGCGATGTCTACCATTGGGATCATATGGCCAGGAGCCATTAGAGGAAACAAGATGAAGTGAAGCTGCTGCTGCCGGCTCTTGCTATACGATTCGGACGCCATGGGAGTGGGCTACTAGGAGATAGGGTGAGTTACTGATTACGGAGTATGTATCTCCTAATGTTTTTTTGGGACAGTATATCTGTCTTTGATGATGATGATGATAATAATGGGTGGACAAAGATGCAGATCAAGAACATGTGGACTATGTGAGGATGTTTTGGAATTGATTCTTGGAAGCAAAAGTAGAATGGATTTTTCAGAATTGGTTTTCATTAGTTTCTCAAAAAATGTTTCCACAAGTAATTGGGTGCACTCACAAATATTTCTTCATTTTTCGTCAAAACATTTCAATATCTATTAGTTCCCTTGCATAATTAAGGTCAGTTCGCGAGTGATGAGTCAGCCTGTTAGTGGCGGCGAATCCGGAGAAGGTGGACGCCTGGACGGCAATGATGGAACTCTGAAAAAATCAGAAGCGACAATCTAGTAAAAAGATTCGTCAATCGGTTGTGGGTGGCTTGACGATGGTCGGGCCACCTGGGGGCACTACCATTGAACAACAAGATGTTGGGCAATTGTCATAAAAGTTACTATCTTTGTCCCATTTAAAAGTGCAATTGCAAAATGACATGATTATTTAGATATTAATAAAATCTAGTAATTTGAGTATATTTTGAGAAACAATTTTGATGAATATATATAATATAATGAGGTTATTGATGATATTTGTGATGTTATGAATATATTATTTTCAATATTTGATGATTAAATTGTCATTTAGAGTGTTAATTGTTTCCTAAAATAGAAAACGAGAACCTTGGACGTACAAAAAAGAAAAATGTAATCTTTGAATAGGACAAAGAGAATGATATATAGAAGTAACAAATAAGAGTTATGTCATAAATATTACAAAAAAATTAGTTATAGACAAAAAGTGACATTTTTTTAAAATTTCCAAGTATGTGATCAATAAATATTATACTTACTAAATTACCCCTAATCCCTGGTGACTTATTTGACAATGACATGATCCACCATAGTGGCCTTCGCCATAGTGACTTCCGCCGCAAATGACCTCGCAGTGACCTCCGTTTGCTATCGTCGTCAGTCACGCTCACCATAGTGACAATGACTAAACTATAGTGACCACCTGTTCAGACCATCGGCGCCTTGACCGGTAAACATCGGCGTCTCGCTAGTGATCACCGTCGTTCAGCCGGTGACTGCCAGTCATAACAGCAACCAAAACACGGTGACCAAAACCCATGACCTTTTCAGTGAAACATAAATCGGCCTCCCTGTAAATATATTTAAATATAATTGTAAATCTTAGATGAACACTACCAGTCTCGCCACATTAAATTGTATTTGCATATTTCCTTAAAAGAGTTTGAAGATAATACCTATTACCTCTTCATCATAAAATAACATCTTGTATACTTGAAACCTTAAGTGATAATAATGACTGGTAGTCTGGTATAAAAACACTTTTATCTTTTGGTATACAAAACAGTCTAATCACTTCAAAGATATATAACTTTTTTACCCATCCTAACACTTCTCATTTCAAAGTTACACACTCATATCACACCCATTCTTTTATTTCTCACTTACATTCTGACCAGGGGCATTTTCACTAAGGCATAAATCAACCCTCCCGGTAAATATAGTTAAATTTAATTGTTAACCTTAGATGAAAGTCACCACCAGTCTCGCCACATTAAACTGCATTTGCATATTTTCTTGAAAGAGTTTTCAGGAGATATGTTATACATGTTCATCAAAAAATACTAACTATATTGATTGTCATCGGGTGCTAGTAAGAAGTTGTTTTTAGATGAAATGAAGTGCTAAACTCAGGATGTATTTATAGAACAATAAATGAAGTTCTTTATCAATGTGAGTGATTTAACCAATGGTTAATGTCATGTTATGTTTTGAATAAGAATGGATGAAAAGCTAACTGGACAATGCATAGAGCTGGTTAGACTAAGGGAGTGTTTGCAACAACTTAAAAAAAACTTCTCAGTTTTTTTGCTTAAAAAACACTTATTTACTAAACATTACCAATTTTTACTTCTTTTTTTTTCGGTTTGCGTGTGAGAAGTGTTGTTCTCTTTTCTATTATACAAAAAGCACTTATTTTACCAAACACTACCAACTTTTACTTTTCAAAATCAATTTTTTCTCAAACACTATCAACTTTTACTACTAATCACATTTTCCTTACATCTCCAAAAGTGTTTTTTTTACCAGAAGCAGTTGCAAACACTCTGTAAGAGTATCACCAATGCTCACGGTGAATTGGAGAAGAGGTGTAAAAAAAATGAAGAGGATGTATTGAGTTTGTAGGTCATAATTAATCAATGATAGGATCCTAGGCTGTAGAGAATTATAATAGTAGATGGTCTGAATCAAATGGAGAGGGTCTATTTATAGCAACTCCAATGCGGAAGACAAAAGTAATTCAAACTAAAATCAATTATTCAAAAATGCATGAGAGGTGAGACCAAAGGTCCCAAAGTATACATGCTCTTGGACCTTGGACATTTTCAATCGGTATATACCTGATTTATTTATTTTTGCATCGGAGAGTACATCTTCTCACAACAATTTGTCTTGGAGTACATAAGATGTACACGATTTGTACATCATATAAAAGGGTTAAAAAATTACCATTCCATTTACCCCACCTAGGAAATCTTCTCTTCTCCCTCTCTTTCTTTCCCACGCACTCCCCCCTTCCCGTTACATATTTGCGCAAAAGGGAGCACATTTCAATGTAGCGTCTTCTTCCTCATGTCCTCTTCCTCTTCACAGGTCGACGGAGGAGTAGGAGTCTGGTGTGAAGGTATTAAGCGAATGGATTATAGTGTTGAGCAGATGGCTTTCATCAATAGCTATGACATGGGTGAGTTGATGGCACCCCAAGGAGAGGATTCCGGCTCTGAACCACCGGCGACCGGAGATGAAGTTCAACCCAGTACGAAATACGTTGGCGACGGAGAGGAAACGCATATTCCGGATGCTGATCATGAACGAGTCCGGAGATGAAGCTCAATCCTATAAAAGTTGGCCTCAAGTAGCTCAATGAGAGGAAACGCATATTCCGGAGAGCCAACTTTAACCGTCGTTGGCTCATTTATGCGCATTATAGGATCAACGAGTCATATTGTTTTTTTGAAGGTGATTGATCCTAAGTCATATATAAGAGACTTTGTCTGGCCATCGCGGTTTGGGACGGTTCCTGGTGGATTTTTTTGATGAAATTTTTTGAGCATTTTTTTCATCAAGTCTAGTTTACTCATACCAAATTTAAGCTAAAACTTCAATCGGGAACGTATTCAAATTAATTCTTGAAGATAACTGTGTAGTTAAATGAGCAGTTATATTCAAGAATTAATTTGAATGCATTTCCGATTAAATTTTTAGCTGAAATTTGGTATGAGTAAACTAGATTTGATGAATAAGATTTGATGAATAAGATGAAATTTGGTATCAAAAAATTCCAACGATAAGAACCTATCCTTGCAAATCTGGGTTTGTTTTCTTCTCTTTATTAATGAAGATAGCACTGTCCATTTCTCTTTCTCTCTCAGCTATCAGAGTACCAGTGACACTTCCTCTCCTTTTCTCGCCTGGCGTCATTTTTGGGCTCTTTTCTTAACACAGTGAAGTTGGGTTTTAGACTTTTAGACTTTCTCACTATTGTTTTATTGTGAAATTATCACAAATTTACTACCATAAAGTATATTTTAATGGAACTTGACTTCACTGGAATTGCGCTTTTGATGGTCTATAAGCTTCATTTTAGCTGTCTCCTCGGCAAAACTTTTTGCATTTCACGGAGCACATAAAAAGCAATTGATGTGCTCCTTTTGCATTCTTCATCTGCATATTGTTCTTTCAATCTTTTTCTGATCCGTTTCTCTCTTCATTAGCTGTTTCAAATTGATAGAAAACCATGAGGGTTTCCTTTTTCCTGCTCTCTCTCCTCGCCCTCTTCAGTCTTTCTCTTCACCTTCAAGTCTTTGCTGCTGCTCCAGCTGGTAACCCCCCTCCCTCTCCCAGTGTGAAGAAATTGATTGATCTGTTTAATTCGTTGCACGAACTCTCTAATCAGCGTGTAATTTTGTATGAATTTCAGGGCCTCTAATAAAGCACTTGAGTTCTCTGTTCAAATTGACTAGCAGGACTTCTTCCTCCAAGGTTCCCCAATCAGGTAAGCTCATTTGGAATTCGCGGTAATTCCCCAATCTGTGAGTATATGTAGTGTTTCAGTATATAATGCTTAGGAAGGTTGTGTAGTTGTGATGCTTCAAATCTGGGTTTTATCGAAATGATATTGAAATTTGAAGTGAAATTTGTTGCTTGTGTTTCTATTGTGGGTATACAGAAGGTGGGAATGTACTTCAATTTGAAGACGGGTACTTGGTTGAAACTGTGGTCCGAGGAAATGAACTTGGGGTTGTGCCTTACAAGATTCGTGTCTCACAGGATGGTGAACTAGTTGCAGTGGACGCTTCTCGGAACAACATTGTTAAGATTACTCCCCCGTTGTCCCAATGTAAGCTTCTCCACTTCCTCCTTCATTTCTCTCATACTTTTCTCAATATAGTGTTCTCTATTGAGATTTGAATTCCCATAGTTTATCATTGGCTTCATTGTAATGCTGTATTTGCTTCTTGAAGTCTGGAAATAGAACACTTAGAGTGCATTCAGTTAGTTGGGAGAAGGACGCTAAATGTCAATTGGTTGGCACTGTTTTATTCTCCCCTTTCATTTGACATTTGGGTTTATTTATTTGGGAGAAGGACACTAATCAAATGCTTAAATCGATGAATAAGTAATTCAAATGATACGTCATACGTAGGTCCTGTTTGGCAGCATTATTTATCTGTTCTTCTTTTCAGCAGAGCAATTAGAACAAGTATCCCTTTGACATACTTAAATGGCTCATATCAAATTTACCAAATGCTTTTACTTTCATAAAATTCAACTATTTCATCCAAATAACTCTTACCAAACAAGCTCATGATTTGCTTACAAGAAGATTAAGCAGAATACCCGATTAATGTTACTAGGCGGGGTCTCAGAAAACTACTGAAGTTCGAATCATGGATTTTTTGGCCAAGTAAAATATAGTCGTTCAATTATGGGATGTGTGTGTGATGAAATAAACAGAGTAGTTTTTTGGAATTGTAATGTGGCGATTGATGCAGATTGTAGGGCAAGATTGGTTGCTGGTTCATTTAAGGGTCATAAAGGACATGTTGATGGGAAACCAAGTGAAGCCCGTTTCAATAATCCAAGAGGAGTTGTCATGGATGATAAAGGGAATGTCTATGTTGCTGATACATCAAATCTTGCCATAAGAAAGATAGGAGAATCGGGTGTGACAACGATTGCTGGAGGGAAGTCCCACAGCGCAGGGTATAGAGATGGGCCAAGTGATGAAGCCCAATTCTCAAATGACTTTGATGTGGTTTATGTCCAGCAAACGTGTTCATTGTTGATTGTTGATAGAGGAAATGCAGCAATAAGGCAAATCTCTCTTTATCAAGAGGATTGTGACTACGAGCAAAGTTCCGTCTCAACCATAGGTTCGAATCCCCCAGACGATGTAAATAAATGGGGCTCTATATAGGGATTTTATTCAAAACCTGGTCCATAATCTGCAGTTTCCTTTTTGCAGATATTTTTATGGTCATAGGTGCTGTAGTGATAGGGTATGCTGTATGCATGCTTCAGCAGGGATTTGGCTCTACAATTTTCTCGACTCTGGTATGTTGTTGTTGTGATCTATATTTAGTTCTTGATGAATAGAATATTTCGCTTACCCAATAAAGGATTAAAGGGTGGCTGAAATGCATGTATTACGTTTTCCATTAATTTTATGGAATCTCAATTATATATCACAAGATATAGACTTTGCCCTCCAAAGCCAAAATCTCCTTTCCTCCAAAACCCTCAGTCCGAACCAACACACCTTTATTTTCACGAGTTAAGTGCTACGTGGCTCTTTATCCATCCTCTGCATTAGGGGTTTGACACCGTTTTGACTTGTGGTATGTTTGGATCAATGAATGTGCTAGCCAATAAGAAAAGAATTGCTACATATTTTGTGGACTTTGGTTTTACTTGGGAAAATGCATTTAAGAATCAAATTTGATTAATTTTTTAATCTCTTTTACAGGGTTTATATTTACAAATTTAATACTAAGTAGAAATGAATACATAAAATGAGTGAACAAATATAAAAACGAAATCTATCGAGTTTGAACAAATGTAAAAACTAAATCTATCGACTTTGAACATTTTTATTTTTATTTTCCCCACATACTTTGTTTCCTGCAAACTCCCCCTCATGTTTTCCTCCCTGTTTTCTTTCCCTAATATTTTCCGAGTTTCATATGAGCCTTGGTCATCCAAGAACCAAAAAATGTGTAAACAGTTTGTACTACTCCTTTTGGAATGCAGGGAAATGCAGTAGGCAGGGAAGACAAAAAACTGATCAGGAGGGAGAAGGTGTCTCCTGTTGTTGAAATGGGAAAGGGAGACAATGAAGTAGTGGCTGGATGGCCATCTTTTGGGCAGCTCATTTGGGATTTGGCCAATCTCTCACTTGAAGCCGTGTCTTTCATTTTCACCCTTCTTAATCCACTGCAATTCAGGAGCACTAGAGTCGGCAGTGGCCTCACTCCACTTAAAGATTCTCTCATCATGCCAGAAGACGAAGAAGTAGAAGATAATCAGGAACGGAGAGTTTCTGCCCCAGTTTCTGAGATCACCACTAGGCCGGTTCACCCTCAAAGTGTGGTCAACAGTAATAATCTGTATAAAGAGGTTAAGACCCACAAACATAGATCTTCTAGTTCGATAGAGTCACCACAGTCAACCAGGCTGCACCGATCTACCAGGCACCATGACTACCAAGCATACTATGCATCATCAACAAGCACTGAGGATGCTCAGCCTTCCTATCAGCCTGAAATGAGGTCTAAAAGTCAGGGGGATAAGGTAAAACATCGCCGTCCAGAGAAAAGTGCACGCACTGGGATGGATCCCAAGTATACTGGAACAAAGGGCCTAAACCCTGCTTTGGTTGAAACTGCCAGGTCTGAGCAATACTATATCAGGAACAACAACCCACCCAGATATCAGTAGAGTACAAACCCTCCATTTGCATTCCCTATACAAAGTTGTGAGCATTCTAATGCCAGAACAAGTATAGTGGTGAATCTCCTACTAACTTTGCTGTGTAACGAAGGACAAATATATCATATGGCTCAGAAGTACCAATTACCCGACTTGGCATCTTCATTTTCACATATCGTTTGTAGCTCCTAGATGTGTGTTTTTTGTTTTGTTTATTTATTCAAATCGTCTTACATACTCCTTTTCCTTTAAAATTATTTCACACAGAAAGGCTTGACCAAATAATTCAAGAATGATTTGTCAAACACCCATCCAAACAAACAATCATCAAATTGAATTGAAACCAGATAGAGTATACTTGTAAACACATGTTCTGTCCTGGTTGCTGCCTGCTCAGTCGCTACTATATGATTCTCTTCTAGCCTTTTTGCCTGGCTAATGAATACTCTAATGTGTTTGAGTTTTCATGATGGTGTTGGATAGTAGAAACAACTAAACAAGGCCAGTGGTATGCACAAAGCATGCCAAAGAAACACGTGAAGAAAAAAATGTATCATTGGAGGAAAATTACTTTTTAGTTGCAATATTTTCATTTTCACGTTTACCATTAGTATATTTAATTCCTTATAAGTAAAAAAAATTGAAAAATCGGATTTTGAAATTTGAAAAGAAGACGGATTTAAATTTATTTTCAAAAAAAATAATAATATATTTATAACTAAAATATAGTCAAAATTGAGCTGTAAAATCCAACCTGTTGTAGACTTATTAGACAACGTTGTTATTTAAAATATAGTTGCTTAAGAGCATACTCATCTGTAGGTTAGTATATAAGACAGTTGTTATTAATGAGCATGTCACGTGCATTTTGAAATTCTTGATTCACTAACTGAAGCCTTATATGTCAATTATGCTCTAACCAATGTTGCAAAAGGTATTAAAAAACGGGTGTTAAGTGCTCCGTAATAAACTAGACCAGTCTAATGCTTTATAGTTTATACCATTTTACCTTTACCTCATTTGGGTAATGTCATCTTAAATTCTTATCGTTGAGGGTGCATTGCTCAAATGCGATGCCAACTTAACTCTCATGTTTTGTGAGATTTGAGCCTCACATTTTGATAATTATAGTACTACTCTTTAAAAGTAATTAGACACTTCTTGAACCAAACGAACCTTATGAATGAGTTCTTTCCAAGACATAGGTTGAGGCTGATGAGGTTGGAAAAGCTCTTTATTAGAAAACCATTTACTTCTAAAAAATATTTCTGAAGGCATCATGCTAACTTAATATGCACTTCTAGAAACAAAACAATCCTTAACTCTTATGTTGGGTTTTGGCCGGATTGCATTAGTTCAAAAATAAAAACTTTATACTTTAATCACAATCAAAAATAGGACCTGAAAATAAAACGAGTACTCCTTTGATAAGAAACACCTAACCTAATTGTTGTTCTACACTAACTCAACATAACTAAAAACGGTTTTGCGTTTCTTTCTACTTTATAAAGTGATTTATTTTAGAGATAATATGAAAATCAATTAATAGTGCAAGTTGATAATTCTAAAAGAAGTGAACGATGATAGTGTTGGAAGAGAAAAATGGTTTTAAAAAAGTAAAGTTAGTATTTTGGGTACTAGAAAAGTGAAAAATAGCACACCTCCCTCTTCTTCTAACTTTTAGTTTTAAAGTAATTGATTTAAGATAAACGTATATTTGAAACACTTTTTTTCACTATTCTTAACAAAAGAACAACCCAACATCAAAATCACGGTGGTATTCCGATCACTCTTTTGGAAGTAAGAGTGAGCTATAAATTAATTAAATCACTAAATGTATGATAACCTAATTATTTTCTGTCCCACATAATGATAAGCTAAGCACCTAAATTTGCTTATCTTCCTCGCTCAAACAAGTCTATAGTGTTAGACTGTTATTTAAGCTAAATAATATTTTTATTTAGTTTCCAAATATGTCCTTGTTCAAAAGTGTGATAATGAAAAATTAATACTCCCTCCGTCTCAAATTGTTTTGCAAAGTCAACATTTTTTGGTCAACCAACAATAAAAGTCCATGCTCCTTATCGATAATTAATTCACTTTTTAATAATTAAAATTTATATATTCAGAAACTACATTAAAATCTCTTCAAAGTTGTAAACTCCAAATTAGAATATACGGAGTAATTAAAAATTGACATCCTAATTAAGCGAATGGAATGAAACTGTTTGACCAAGAAAAGTCAAATTTGCAAATCAATTTGGGACGGAGGTAGTATAGAGTAATTAATGATGTACTTTTCACAAGGGAAAACAAGTACTCCGTATTTTACTATCTAATTTTATGGAGTATATTAAAATAGAAGCAAGAACTTGATTTTATTGGAAGAGAAAGTGGGAATTTAATACTCCGTAATGGAATGGAGTAAATGATAATTAAGACGAGTTTCACATTTAGCGGTTAGCTGTTAAACCCCTTTTTGGCGGGTCTTTATCGAGACATGGTTTGGGCTCGATAGGGTGGCTTTTGGGGCATGGGATGCGGCCAAAGTCATCATGGCAATGACCAAGGCATAGGTATGCCGCGGCATTGCAACATTGCGAAGAACGGGCAAGGTGGAAGTTTGGCTAAGGCATGAGGACTTAGCCAAGACAAGGCAAGCTAGACCAAGTATGGGGGCAGAACGGTTGGCGTTGCGAGAAACCATGTTCAGTTCATGGACGGCATGTGACACCGCACCCGGATGTACTTGAATTTGAAACTTAAAATGTACTTGAACTTCCTAGCGAATAAATTTCGTGTGATTGATTGATACATTTAATTAATGTGAGATTAATTAAATTATTCTTCGGGTCCATTATATGAGAATGGACTACCAAATATTTAGTTGGGTCATCATAATAAATTATAGAAGCCCAATAAAGTGCCAACAAAAGTTGATAAAAATATTTGGACAACCCGAGTGCTATTTTGGCCGAACCTACCAAAAATAGCAGGAATAATTGGGAGGGACTTCCTATACCCATTTGGGGTTTCCCTACAAGCCTTATAGACTTCAAATAATGTAAAAGAGACATCCCAACATGGGGGGGTGCGGACTTGTGGAGGGAGGGGATTGCATGAGACAAGAAATACTCCCTAAAGTCCTATCAACACCCTACCTTGGTGTTTGATTGAGGATAGATACATCCCCTTCCCATTCCACTCATTCGAACCAAGAGAAGAGAGAGAGAGGCTCTAGAGAAGCTCTTCACATCATTCATATCTTGGAGGAAGCAAGAGAAAACGAAATCCAAGGAGAAAGAGCTAGGATTGGAGGTAAGAACTCATATAGTTCTTTAACTAGCTTTATTTTTGTATGATTTTTAAGAAATCATATGATGGATCAAACATGAAGTTATACACGTTTAAAAGTGTAGAATAATGTTATAAAGTGGTGGTAATTAACTTAGAAGAGTCGTGGAATCGATAGGAGTCGAAATCGCCGGAAACCGCCACTTGAAGGAAGCTGTTCGTAGCTGCAGACGACGAAAGCCGCCCACCTTTCACCAAAGCCGCCCGGCTTTCGTCTGCTGACCAGATTTTTCATCTCCAATCGGTTTAGAACGGGGATTGATCGGAGGGCTTAGCGAAGGCAACTATTTCAGCACTTCATAAGGTGAGGATGGCTGACTATATTGCTTATAATCTTTGAGTTAATTTCATGAGATTACCTAAGGTAATTAAATATGTTTTTAAGGATTATTAATGATTAATAATGCCTAAGAATGAGAAGACTATTGTCAATAAGGAAAAGGAGCATAATATACAAATTTAAGAATAAATTGTGTATGATTATGTGATATAAGCATGTTGGCTTGATAAAGGAATTAACTATAAACTATATGTTGAAATATAATTTTTACTTCATATAAGAGTATATGAGTGATTAAAAGTTATATTTTGTATATTGATATGAACTATATTTTCAATGGAAAATTAGTTTGGAAATTGTATATATGACTATGAATTGAAAATGGCTTTTTGTTGGAATTTATCCGACTAGTATTATGATACTAGTCGGGGTATTGGAATGAGAATATGTTAGAATTGATCCAAGGTTTGGATTGTAAATTGTTGAGCCTTAAGTAGTCTTAAGAGATACTAAGGTGGATAAGTATGAGCTAAGTGATGTTAGGGGAGGCCTTAAGGGATACCCAAGATAAAGTGAATGATAAATTGATCCTAGATATAGGATTGGCCTACGGGTGTATTCGGTAGTCTTTGAGGATTAGCCGATTAAGTATTGGTAATTAGTAAGGACCATGGCCCTTCCCGACTCTAGAGAGCGGGGTTGGATAGCATGGACTTACATCGTGATCACGGGTTAGGGTGGAATCCGAACCGGAGACCTTACGAGGCTCCCGACAGCGGTAACACATAAGATAGGACCCCGAATGGACCTTACCTTCCTACGGGACGATGGGTATGAGTTCAGGGGCGGGATGTTGGACTCCGGCCCGGGGACCCGATGAGGCCTCGGAGAGCGGTGACAAGTCTCGTAAGGATGATAAGACCTACGGGCGGTGTCGTGTAAACGACGATTGAAATGAAATATAAAAAAAAGGGCCGTGTGCCGACAAATTAATTAATTAACTTATTATGAAGATAATAGGGGTTAAAGAAGAACTATCATTATATTATGATATCACTCTATTTTGAGGGTCTTAGAAGTTGAAACATTGATTATACTTAGTATAGTTGTCATTGTACTTGTCAAATGCTTCCAAGTACTGACCTCCCCTTCACGGGGGAGGCCACCTCACAGTTTCAGGTAGGGAGTAAAGCTTGCTACCATCACCCGTTGCTTCGGGGAGCTCAGGGAGAGAAGACGTGGTTCGTGCTTCCTCCGTTCTATTTTTAAACACTAAATTAATGCTCATGGATATTATTTTTGAATCATTATTTGGGGGCTTGTATGCCCATGTTTGCCAAAGTGTGGCATGAACACTTGTATCAAATATTTCCGCTGCTTTAAATGATTATTTTTACATTATGCTTGTTTATGGATGTACTATTGTGAATGATATTCGAGACGCCTAGTATAGTATGGATGAGCTGGACTGCGGTTGACTATTCGTACCGTACGGCGGGTTGTTGACGTGTCCGGTAGGTCCGGGGCGTGACACAGCATGACATGGTCAAGGGAGACTATGGGTGTGCGGGTTCGGCATGTGATCCACGTGTTGGTGAAGATCAGTGGCATGCGGGGCATGGCTTACGGGATGCGGAACAACAGCTTGGAGGCACAACAAAAGCAAGTGGCTCAAGGTGGCACGTGAACGACTCAAGGGTAGTGCGTGGTGCGTGGCCAGGCTTGAGCCCGGGGCGTGGCTGTCCTTGGGCAGTCACGACATTTGGGAGCTTCGGTGGCAACGAGGGTTGGTTGGCCGGTTGACAAGTGGGACTTGGGCAAGCTGGGCACAAGGCAACGAGAGTTGGTCACAAGCTCAAGGCAAAGAGTTTACTCGTGGGTGGCTGGGTTAGGCCGCGGCATGAGTGCAAGCTCGAAGAGGCTTGTCGGTTCGGTGCGGCATGACTCAAGTCTGGAAGGGCAGGGCGGTTACACGCGAACAGGTGCCTTGGGGCGAACCGGTGGCAAGGCAGTTGAGGGCTTCGGGCGGACAAGTGCTTGGGCAGACCGGAAGGCCGCGACATAGGGCGGTTGGTAACTGCCACACGTGAAGAGACGCGTCCCTTCAGGCTAGGCAGTTGGCTTGTAACTGCCAGACGTGGCTCGTCTATAAATATGCCGCGGCATAACTGCGAGTTTTGTAGTCTTAGCGAGAGACAGCAGTGTGGCCGAGTGTTTGCAAGTGTGTTAGACATTGTGAGCGTGTTGTATTAGTCTTAGTGTATTAATTGTGAATTAATACAAGGTTGGTCGTTGACCGTAAAGTCGTGTGCCTTTATTCTAAGTGTGTGTTAAAGTGTGGCGTTCCTATTCCAATTAAGGGTTGCGCCGCGGCATTGGGTGGAAGGCTGACTGTCTTAAGGCGTTAAGGCAGACCGTATAGGGTGAAAATTCGAGACGTGAATTTTACCGTGTAACAATTTGCAAATCAATTTGGGACGGAGGTAGTATAGAGTAATTAATGATGTACTTTTCACAAGGGAAAACAAGTACTCCGTATTTTACTATCTAATGTTATGGAGTATATTAAAATAGAAGCAAGAACTTGATTTTATTGGAAGAGAAAGTGGGAATTTAATACTCCGTAATGGAATGGAGTAAATGATAATTAAGACGAGTTTCACATTTAGCGGTTAGCCGATAACGATTATATTAACAGATTGTTAATAGTAGATTCAGTGAGTTTGACTAATGATATAAGTTGATGGGTTGCAAAAAGTTGTTTGATACGTAGTTATCTGTTTGGTCGTATCAATTAGTAGGAAATGACCTATTTCATAACGCAAATCCAAAGCGTTGTTATTTGTAGCGTTTCTATTTCAGCGATTCCGTTCAAAAATGCTAGGGTCGGACAGTTATTTACCAAACAAAGTTTTCACTTATTGAAAACGCTAAAAATGTTTAAACCGTTATTTTTTTGGCATAAAAGTCATTTCCAAACACCTCTTAATCTTTGAAATAATAACATACCAATAATCAAAATAAGTGTCGTTTACAAAAATATTACTCCACCTCTTAAACGGTTTGACTTGTATTGAAATTTAAGAAAGTGGAAATAAAATATAAATTATGGTCGTGATTGAGTAAGAAAAATGTAAATGAATGATAACCACACAACTCTTTTCAAAAAGGAAAATGAGAAGAATTTTCTAAAACATCCGAAAAAAATAAGTGAGATTTTTTTTTTTGCTAAGGGAGTATATTATACTCCCGTACTATTAATTGAAGTTTTGAACAATTTACGTGGTTTCATTATTTATTAAAAAATGGAAAAATTGATAGTAATAATTCCAACTATTGGCGGTCCGCTCATAATAATCCCAACTATCGATTATTTCAGAATAATCCCAACTTTAGAGACCTTAAGCCAATAGTGGTCCCTTTAAATAAATTTATGTAGTTTCTAAAGTGGATGAGGAGTGAGATAGAAAGTAATCCTTATAAATAATCTCAATTTTTAATTTTTACACTCAATTTCTATTTAAAATTCACTTTTTATAGGAGGTAATATCTGACCATGGATCATTATTGGCAGACCCATAATTGGAATTATACAAAAATAATCAATAATTAAGATTATTATCAGCGGACTAACAATAGTTGACATTATTATTTTCAATTCTTCATTAAAAAATTATCTATATCGAAAAATCAGTGATAGGATTAGAAAATTTGTCATGTAGCATAATGGGGCGCAATACGCACCCGGCGCATCTTAGCATTCTGAATTTCTCACATTCTTCTTCCTCGCCCGCATTGCGACCACACCGGAGGGGGAAAGCCTCTTTCTCTATCGGCCACTGGGAGACCTTTCGTATTCTTATCTTCATATCCACGCAATTAGGACCCATCTCTGCTCTCTAAAAAACCGTACTTTCTCCCATCAATCGATAGAAGCTTATATTGGAGTAAAATCCCCGAGTGTCCAAATATTACCTGACAGCTGAATCAGTAGTATTACGGTTTTGCAGCACCCCGAAAGCTGGAATCGGGTCTTTATTGCTATCATCGCACGAATTTCGTCTGTTCTATTGGTAGTTTCGAAAAGTTATATGGACTCTTTGGCTGATTCATAATGCGTGCGGTTGATATCGATTCCCTCTGTTGAATTTGGAGCAAAAAGGGTTCGACATTCGAAGATTTAGTTAGTGGAAATGATGTCCGCGGAGAGATCGTTTGAAGCATGGGAAGAGGTGCAAAGACAAGGGCAAGATTTCGCTGATAGACTGGCACAGGGGTTTACGGGGTTGATTCATTCTCATATTGCCCCTCCCTCGTTTTCGTGGCCAACCCCACAAACGCCGAAGCTATTTGATGTTGAATTTCCAGCTCAGAGTTTTGTTCCTAAGGATTTTGGGATTGCAGTCGATAAAGCCAGCATCCAAGGGGTTTCTGCGATTCTTGATATAGGGAATAAGATAGGGCAGGCTGGAGCTGACTTTGGAGCTTGTTTGGATGGTATGGTTCAGCAGTTCGCCAGATGGTTTCCAGTTCCCTTTAAGCATGAAGAGATATCTAGGGTATCTCTGCAGGCAGACACAAATAGACAAAGAATTGATATGTGTGTTAACCCCCAGGAGGATTTGGGGTTGGTGACACAACGGCTTAGAGATTTTGGGCGTATGGAAAATGGTGATGCTCAAGATGGATCCACTGAAGAAGACAATTTCGGTGCTAATCTGAAGAAATTGAAGCACTTTGGTAAATCTCAGGTATTCACTTGCCATAGACTAATATGCCTAATGTTAATGTGGATTTGAGGATTTCACACCTCGTATGTTTATCTTAAATGCTTTAAAATGTCAAAAGGGTATCCAAACTGGCTGGGTGTTTTTTTAATCAGCTGTGTTAACCATTCAGGAAGAATACAACACATGTTGTGATTCTAAATACTTGTTTTGTTTACCTACCACAACAAGCGTAGATTAAATTAAATTCTGATTAATGTATGAATGATACAGTTTTACCATTTCCTTGTGTAGTTGTGTGGAGACTATGTGTACTGGCTCTGATCTCTAAGATAATTCATATACGACAGCTGGACAGCATACCTGTTGAGAATGTGTTTTTGAGTTGCTACTGTATTATACATATTACTACATCCGTCCCACTAACATTGCGACATGAGGGGTGGCACGGTTATTAAGAAAAGTGAGTTTATGTGATTGATATTGAATAGCTAAAGTAAGAATAAAGTGAAAATGGTTTAGAGCCACACAAACTTTACCAAATTTGGTATGAGGCAATCTTAGTGGGATTTACGAAAAGGAAAGATGGGACAATCTTAGCGGGACGGAGGGAGTATTTGTTAGAAATTATATTTGGAAGTAGTCATAGCATACACTTGTATGCTACATCATTGGGTTACACGATTTTGTGCCACACAGTGCTTCAACATACTAGCTCCTTCATTGCATGAGTAGTATACCATCTTCTCTTCTTCTTCTCTCAACATTGTACAAGAGCAGTCATCTGATTCCCCATTTTCAAGACTAAACTATTTTACTTCCTGCGTAGAATCCATTGTTTTGTTTTTTCATAGCTGAACCCAGATCACCTCTCTTTGTCACAGACTCACAGTTTTGAAACTCTGCATGGATTTCTCAAACTGTGGCTGTTTTTACATGCAATTACTCCTATATATCATTGATCTCCCCACTACACCAGAACACAAAGTTAACAAACAATTCTGGGCCATTTGTGTACACCTCTCCATGCAGGCTATGCTCTGAACATGGTTGTTAATTTGTTATATTGCGGGAGTGGTGGGGATGAGCTGTTTTGCCACAGGGGTGGTGTATTTATGATGTCACCATACGACATACAAGTAACATGTACAAGTATAAACGAATGACAACAAAGTTCAATGATTCAGTATTCAATCCTCTCATGTAGTCCAGCCATTACTCATTACCATTAATCACTATATTTGAAAGAATTATGCATGAGACAACCCCAGGGTTCTGTTTGGGGGGGGGGGGGGTATTGTTTTCCATCTCAAATGCTCCCTCAGTAGTTTGAAACTTTGAATTATCCTCCTAGGTGACTCAACAAAGTTATTTGACAGTTAAATGGTTTGTACTTCGTAGCAATGTGGATAGCTTACCACTAAAAGGAATGTAGTGCCTAGATACTGATCTTCTGTGCCAAGGGCATGCTGCCCTGTCTGCATCAGTCAATGTTCAAAATTGCGCAATAGAATTGCGACTTGAGGCGTGCCTCGTCGATTTCCTGGTAATTTGTGATGAAAGGCGTAACTAAGTTTATGCCATACGAAGACCTACGCCTTTTATGGCTGAGGTGTGCGATACATGGCGTTCACTATATAGTGCAAACAAGGCTCACACAATAATAGTGTGCTGATAAAATGTACTCCGTAATAATCGGGCACAGATATCTGCCATCAATTTTATTCAACTCATTAATTATTTGAATATCTGCCAGTCAGCCTCTCCCTCTTGTCTTTCTTCTGGTCATCTCCTGGTAACCTTAAATTTATTTTTTTTACACCAGCCCTATTGTAAGCTTTCTGCCATTCTTCCTACCCTCTCGTCTCTCTGCATCAACAAATGTGTTCTCTCTTTGTTACTCCGTAAGTATATTTTAATTAGTGCCCGCTTATCCCTCTGGCGTCGACAATGGTGTTCTGTGCTTAAGTATCTATGTCAGGCCACCTATCCATTTCGTCTTCGCATTACTGATTACTACTCCCTCCATCCCGCTAAGATTGTCCCATACCAAATTTGGCATAATTTGTGTGGTTCTAATTCATTCTTATTTTATCAATTCAATATCAACCCAGTGATGTCAATTGCGCGCTATAGCGGTGGAGCATAGCGGAGGAGAGGTCTGCCGCTACTAGACCAACTGTAGCATGGCGTTTGGGTGTAGCGGAGATAGCGGGCGCTATATAGGTAGTGAGGCAGGCGCTATACAGGTAGTGAGGACTGTGAGGCAGACCCTATAGCGGTGCTTTTTGCGATCGAAGGTGGGTTGGGGGGGAGCCTGGAGTAATCAGGGCTGAAACTCATTCCATTGAGTTTCCAACCCTTGTGTGCCTAGCGGGATTCGAACTCGAGACCTCCCACTAGGCACGGTAACCTCACAACCAGCTGGGCTGGAATGCTTGGTTTTTCTGCGTTTTTTTTTTTTTTACTGCAGATGGACAGGGGTAAAGTAATCTTTTAAAACTAAATAATAAGCAACTCAAACCCTTGTACATGTACGCAGAAGTGTAGAACCCTTAAAAACGCACAAGTAAGCAACTTTCTCTCTGCTCTGCGATGACCTCTGCTTCAACAAAATATCTGCTCCAAGAACAACCTTCACTCCTTCATCTTGTACAAGAAGGATACATGCTACACTCCTCTTTGTTTCTTTCCAGTGTAGACTGATAGACTATTAATTTATCAAGGCTTAACCCAGGAACTCGTTTTTTTATTCAATATTTTAACTTAAGATCTTTTAATCATTAATAGCAATGTATGTTTTGCTCATGAAACTAAGGAATATTTCCCAGTAATTTAGGATTTAAGAATGTTAAGATGTTTGCAACTTTGAATGGCATATATCATACTTTACTACTGTTTATGTCATGTAATTATATGCTTGTAGTTAATTATGTATTATACTTGAAAGTAGTTTAAATAGCGGTCATCCCGCTATCCGCTATAGCGTTTTCAGGGTTGGCTGCTATGCTCCGCTATCCGGGATTGACAACACTGTATCAACCACACAAACGCACTTTTTTCAATAACCGCACCACCTCCTCATGTCCCATTGTTAGTGGGACAAAGGTAGTAATGTAGTATATATGAAGTATATTACTTTGAGTTGGCTTAACTTTACAGCTAGATTCCATGTTATAATTTATATGTTTATTTAGGTTTGAAACTATGAAGTCTAATTCGTTCATTTTACGACTTTTAGTATATTTACTCTGTACTCTATTATTGTGCAATGTTTGTAATTATTTTTATTCCATTTTCCCTTTATTCATGTTGAAAATTTACTTTTCATCAGATTTGTTTTTTTTTTCTTCCGGAATGTAGGGTACATTTAATTTTACATCGACATACAACAACATTACACAAAAATTCGAGAGTTCTCTAACTGCAAAGGGAGATCTATGGAGAGTTGAAGCATCACAAGGCCGGTCCACATCTGGAAATGAGAGCTCCTCTTTATTCCTACTCCAGCTTGGACCAGTTCTATTTGTTCGTGACTCAACACTTCTTCTACCTGTCCACTTGTCAAAACAACATTTGCTTTGGTATGGCTATGACAGAAAGGTATGACCAGGTTGATTTATAACTTCTAACTTCTAAGTATAGCTTCTGTAGTAGGAGATATGCTCACAATTTGTTGTCTCTAAACACTGAATATAATCCCCACAAGATATTATTTATCAATGTATTATCATACCTTCACCTAGCATAAACTGATAAGTGATAAACATGACATTTTGACTTTCATCGATGGACAGCATGGAATGCACTCTCTTTGTCCAGCTGTATGGTCAAAGCAGCGGAAGTGGCTGTGTATGTCGATGATTTGTCTCAGCCCTCTTTCTTGTGTAAGTCTCAGCTTTTGATTTAACACTAGCTGTTTTTATTCATTTTGGAAGGAAAAGGAAAAGGCCTATGTAGGTGCTATTTTATATTCCAAGTAAACTAATGGATCTTTGTACATCGCCTCCAGTCATTTATGGACTTGCAGTTTCCAAACGGTCAGTTCACTTACATATCTGGGGAGGGCATATCTACCAGTGCTTTTGTTCCTCTGTGTGGAGGCTTACTTCAAGTTCAGGGTCAATGTCCAGGTGACATCAAGCTCAGTTACTCTTGCAAGGTAAGTTTTTAAAATTTGAAGCTGCAAGGGGAAGAGTACATTATTGTCTCTAACAAAAGAATAATTCCAGCGACTAAAAGTGGTATTTATTATACATGTTTGCAGAACAAATGGGGAACATGCATTGCACCCACACTGCAGTGGCCTGACAAATCATTTACCCTGGGATTTTCCCAGCCATTGGCTTGGAAGAGATCTGGTCTCATGTATAGGCCAAATATTCAGCTGAGGTCGGTAGGTCGTTTAATCTACATTTATATTGTCCTATGTATTTTGCTACTCCTAGCCTTATTTCTCTTTTCACCTATTGAAGTTTGTTGCGGCCTTTTTTTTTATCCATTTAGTAAGTACAAAGAGCATTAATTACTCTGTTTCGGTTTTACTCGACAGAGTTGAACAGCATATTAGAAAGCTTGAATATAGAATTTAAATCAAATTCTATTTAAAGTATACACAAAAAGCTAAATCATTATTTTGTGATGTGTGCGTAAGTATGGTCAATTTTAGTAAGTTTGATTATGTTGTGATTGATTAAGAAATCATGTAACATTCTTATGTTATATGTGCGACTTTAACTTGGACAGATAAATATATGACTGGATGAATATGACTTAACACACCCTGTAGTGTACTTAAAAGCTAATAGCACTTTAACTTTAGGAGCCATGGGTATTCTGAATTTTATTTAATTTTTACTGCTCTGGGTGGGACTCTACAACTGTAGTTCAGTTGTGGATTACATTTCAATGGATAGGAAGTGCTCCCTTTTTCTTGAAAAGAGTCACATTCCTGAAACATAGCTAATTTTCATGTTGGTATCCAAAAAGAAGTTATTGACAAGTTCAATATGATAAGTTTAGCTAGACCAGAGAATGATTTAAAACATTTTATGGATTGCATGTCTTTTAAGAAGTTGTACCATGGCAAAATTTAAAAAGTTGTTTCTTGAGAAAATATACTTCTTATTTGGGAGGGAGAAGTATAGTGTAATATTAATAAACACACATAACCCTTTTTTGTGTGTACTTGACTTTTTTTTAACGTTATCAGCTTATGCCCCACGTATGGTGGAAGCAACCCTGGAGTTCAAGCAGAGCTTACTCATTCTCTTGGGAATGAGTTGAATCTCATCTGTGGATGTGCGCTTGCAAGACATTCTTCTGCTTTTGCATCGTTATCTGTAAGTCGAGGAATCACAATTCTGATGCATTTTCTCAAGGAACATTTGCAGCGTTTTGGTTGAAAGTTTTCTCCAAAAAATATCTGTGACCACAAAAATAATTAATGAACATTGTTTTCTGGTCTTCATACTTCTGATTGATACATGGCATTGTCTTTGAAGGACTCGACGATTTGTTTTTCCCTCTTAATTGTAGTCCTTCAAATATAAAAGATCACAGATATAGACATACCTGATGCCTTTTGCACTTGTGTGTACCCCGGTTAATGCGAGAAGCTGATCTTCTTAAAACCATTTCATCAATGGTTCTAATTAGCTATTGCAACTTTTGAGTTTTTGAATAATGATCATTGTTCTTCCATGTCTGCAGCTTGGCCGATCCAAGTGGAATGGAAATGTTGGGAGCTTAGGTGCGGTTTTGAAGATTGAAACTCCTATTGGCCGTGCTGGCAACCCTTCCTTGTCCTTGCAATTTAATAGCGGGTTTGAGCTGTGACTAGTATTTAAAAAAAACATGGGCGTTTGATGATTGTAATCTGTGTACATTTAACTGTTGAGGAATGCTAGGGTACTCTTCTATGCACTCTTAATGGGAAAGAGGTGCTTAATAGAGAGTACAATAGAGAGAAGCTATCATTCCTCAAAACTTTTTACCTTCCCATCCCCCCCCCCCCCCCCCCCCCCCTTTGGAAGTGAAATGTTAATAGCTAATAGCTTGATGTCATAGCACAAAACTTACATTGTGAATAATAAATTAATATTAAACGCAGTATTATTTGCCACTTTAGCTACACAGTTCAACTTATTGCTCTTTTCCAGGATGGCTTCCGTATGTTGTTACTACTCACTAATCTGAGTTAGTACTGAAACCTGTGCTCAAGAATGTTTAGTACTTTAGTATCACAGTATAAGCTACATCATAGCTTGGAAGTGAAATGTTAATAGCTAATAGCTTGATGTCATAGCACAAAACTTACATTGTGAATAATAAATTAATATTAAACGCAGTATTATTTGCCACTTTAACTACTAGAACTATATGATACATACACTCGCATTTAGAATGTTTAGTACTTTAGTATCACAGTATAAGCTACATCATTACACCAACATAACAAACTTAAAAGTTAATTAAAGAATTTCCAACAGCCACAATTCCACAAAGTATTTCTACCATTTAGTTTGAAATTCTATTTCTTAGCTCTGCAAAAGATCAGACAGAGAAAACATGACCTTAAGAAGGAATGCCAAAATGCCAATCCACCACACAAACAACATTCTTCTCCAGTTCCATAAAGGCCTTCTCAACTTTGGAAGCTCTGATTCCATGCCCACTGATGCAGAGTAGATATCAGGTATGCCGGACCCGACTTGGTAATCAGCCTTCTGATTAATACTCACACGATAACAGGTTGTCCACTTGTCCCATCAGTCATGTGATCAGTGATGACAACCTTGAGGTTTTGGACTAGTGCTGGACTCGGGCCGGGCGGCCCGGCCCGGAACCGGCCCGGCCCGGAACCGGCCCGGCCCGGAACCGGCCCGGCCCGGTTACTATTTGGCCCGGCCCGGCCCGGGGCCCGGTGGGTCCCTTGGTTCGGTTCGGCCCGGCCCGGCTGCTGGGCGGTTCGGGCCCGGGCCCAGGTTTTGGTGAACCGGCCCGGCCGGTTCGGGCCCGGTCCGGGCCGGATTTTAATTTTTTTTTTTTTGAAATTTTTTTAAGTTTTAGGTTGGATTAGGTATTTTGGGCCATTTGAGGTGGTTTGGGATGGTTTGGGGTTGAGGGGGAGGGGTAGGGGATTAAATAGAAGAACAAAAAAAAAAAAAATTATTGGGCCGGTTCGGCCCGGCCCGGCCCGGTTTGGCCCGGAACCGGGACCGGAACCGGCCACCGGCGGTTCGGGCTCGGGCCTCCCTTTCCTGGCCCGAGGCCCGGCCGGGCCCAGGCCCGAACCGGGCCCGAACCGGCCCGAGTCCAGGCATATTTTGGACGTCTGTTTGGATTCTTAAGGGAGTTTTGATTGCTGTCTCAGCTAATTGTATCGACTGGCTCTTGAATTTCAGCATGAGTGGACGGCTAGAGGTTGCTATCACTTTGCCTTCTGCTGATAGCCTCTCCACCCTCACGTCCATCTGCAAAATTTGATGTTACTCGTAGGTGATTATTTGGAATACACTGCATCAAAGAGCCATCCCTAGTATTCTGGCCCGGAGACGCACCTGACCCGGATGGTTCAAGCTGGTTCCAGTCTTCCAGATCCTTTTTTGATAGGTTAAAACCGACCCGGAGTTTACCCGAGAACAGCAATGGGGAAAGGCTGGGAGTACCCGGCTTTGGTTTGTACCTTTATGTGGCCTGGAATCAGCGTCTGAAACCATAACCAGTGGAGCGGTTTGAGGCCATCTCTAATTGCACGTTTGTTCCACTAATTCCTAGGGGTAGGGGTGGAATCTCATTTATTTTAAAACGGGAACTGGAATTGAAGTCGGCATGAACACCTGGAAACTTACCCATGGTTCCGTTTAAGGTTACAACTTTTTCGGGACTAGGATTTATCCACCTGCAATAAGAATCGGCCCATATCCATTATTACCTAGGAGTGAGCACCTATAACAAAACCTAACACAAATAAGCCAAGGTTTAGGTTTGTCCTGTTCTAAGCCCTATTATGAAAACAAGGAAAAAGTTCCAATGTTTAATAGGAGGGGCTTAAAACCAAACCTGAAACCTTTGGACAACTACTGGTTCGGGTGACACATCTTACTCAATTTTCAGCTTTTCATGTTAAAAAATATACCTGGAAGATCCAAAGCTTTTTGTTGTAATCTGATTCAGGCATTGTCAACGAGACAGTGAGCTTCAATTTATGGCTGCCAGGAAAGGTATGCTTTCCGGCAGCCACCTTCGTGTTAAGAACACCATAGACAGTTGAGGAAGCAGTGGGTACAAAAGCTTTTTGTAGTCAAAGTTCAAGCTTGCAGTGGTCTGTATAGGCTCCTCCACCAAATGCCTCATGACAAAGGCCCCTATAACATATTCTAACACAGATAACCCAACCAGAATGAAGCAAAGATAGGTTGACCAAAAAACTGCCCTACAAAGTCTCACTGCCAATTTCAAGAGGTTATGCCGATTTCATTCTCTTGAAATCGTCTTTAACCATTATCAGGGCTTGAAATGGATGTGCCAAAATGAAAAGCCAAAAGCACAATACAGGAAGTGGGACTTCCAAGAGTTTAGCTACTTCACTGTTGCCTTCAATGCCATCACCATGGTTGTCTACTTGTCTTCAAGGGGCCTCGACTCATTCATTGTAGGAATTTGAGAAAGTATACTGAGAATTGGTGAGTTCTTGGAGAGAGCTAATAGGATTTCAGAAAGAAACGATTCTGTTATTTTGCCTGGAATGCTTTAACTTTTGGAATAATTTGGATTGTCTAGACTGGATAGGTCATTAGGCCATGACAAGAATCGGTGTTTCCTAGTTGGTGCTTCTTCAGTAGAATAAGGAAGTACTAACAATGGTATTTTGGAGGACTCATAATCAGCCTTCAGTAGGTGGTGAATGTGTCTTTATTGATCATATTTATTCATATCCAGGGGATGAATTTCTCGTCCATGCTTCCGAGAGCGAGAAGAGACCTCCTATATCGACACTAACCAGGACGTGTGTAACAAGGCTAGGCTGGTTACGAGGGATAACTAATTTGCCTACATCGAATTTGAACACTCAGATTAAACTATATAGGAAAAAACATCAGCAATCGTATATAATGAGGACTAGATCCCAATCTCGTGTGGATCTCGCATATAATGAGGACTAGATCCCAATCTCGTGTGGATCTCGCATATAATGAGGACTAGATCCCAATCTCGTGTGGATCTCTTCAGTCTGGAATAAGTGCTTGTGCTTTCTTGGGTGGTCTTTATTAGTTGCACTGCGGGTTGGGTTACCTGTTGCATTTTTTCTTTCCCTTTTCTTGCTTTATTTTTGTACTTCTTTCCTTTAATAAAATCATGTTCTTTGTTTTAAAAAAAGGTGTTCTTTGTTTTAAAAAAAGGAAGTAATGCATTTTTTTCATGCAGTCGTCGACTAAATTATAACAAAATTGGTAAAAGGTAAAAAATCTAACTAGTAAAACTCACAAGTAGAAACTAGAAATACAAGTAAGACCTCTATTATTTATCATCTATTACAGAGTATGTTACAATTAATAAAATGGATGCATATATAAAATAATACTCCATAGCAAACTCCATAGAAACACAAGTATGACCTCCCATGCTTTTGATTCCCTGGCTCACTTGCACTTCAAAATAATATCTTTTCCATACTTAAATATTTTGTTCTCAAAGATATGCTGACTGATACACGGCTGTATCATGACTAGTCACCTGCCCGTCAGACCAGGCAGTGTTTTTCATAGCATTACAACTGAAACTATTGCAGATTCAAAGAAACCAGCATTCATTCGCTGTTAAAAAGATAAAAAATACAATGTCAGTATCCATTCGCTCTTAAGTCAACATATTGATCCTCTTGTCACGTATCGGCAAATCAATTGGTTTCTGTGCCTGGTGAGGATGCTCTGCTCCTTTATACACCTTAAGATGGTTAAATAAGTGTCTGCCCAGCTGCATTCACATCGTTAAAGGCACTTTAGAATCAGGAAAATCATGACCATCAGATTTTTTTAAATGCCAATTCCTCTCTTCTCAACTAGATGGAAGCATATGACATTTTAAATGGCCAGTGGAAACTCAAGTCTCATGCAATTAAAATGACACGCTGGCATGCTGCTTTAGGACCGGTCTGTTTAAGTGTGGTCTAGCCTGTTTCTATTTGATATTATGCTAGTGTTATTAGTGTCTAATATCGATTTAAGTGTTGTGTGGTCTGTTCCTTTTTCATATCGGATTGATCTAGTTTGAACTGTTCAAGTCTAGTGAGGACTGATGGTCTGGTCAAAAACTAAACTGATATAAGCCTAATTGAACAGATCTTTACACCACAAGAAAACAAATCATATACTTTTTGCATGCAGGCCATACAAGTATACAACCTTGAGCTCTGCGTAATCTGAATTTACAACAGGGGCATTATTTTTTTCCCCTATGATAAGGCTATGATAAGTGATCACTAAATAAAATGTGTAACAAATATAGATACATTTTTCTGAAAACAAAAGATTCATAAAACTGCTCAAAACTGACACACACAGCAGGACATAATACAAGCATGCTATTCTGTTTCCTGATCATTGCATACAGTACAAAGAGGTTACTTCAATGTACATAAGAGACATAAAATACTCATAAGGATGGACATACCCTTCCTTTGGGAAGCATCCCTCGCACTGCATGCTCAATGATCCTTTCAGGGATCCTTTTCTGCAGTTGGTCAAAGGTCTCCTCTTTCATACCACCCGGTCTCCCCGAATGCCTTCTGTAAATCTTCTGTGTCCTCTTCTTTCCAGTTACTGCTACTTTTTCAGCATTGACCTTGTTGGAGGTTCAGGTATAATAGAATTGTAAAACACTCAACCAGAGTAGTACACATCTTTTTAGTCCAAAATAATGAGACTGCATTTCAATAGGCGTAAAAGGAAAAGGAGCAATCACCTGAACAAGAATGACCCAGAATAGAAGTAGAACACATTTCATTCATATGTAAGATAAAAAAGTACAAAAAAACATTGTGAAAACGTAATTTCAGAGATTCCATATCTTATAATTTTGAATTTTTGCTTCAAATAACTTCTCACATAATATTTCATTGTGGTATTGGAAAACATAGGTAGAAATGGGGTGGATCAAAGATGCGTAAAGCCCATTTGTTATGCCACTGACACAATATCTGGGAAACATCTGATTTACGATCTTTTAATAAATAAAACAGTTGTAAGTTATAAGTAGATGGAAGATATATCTACTGTAGTCTTTTTTACAACAAGTCAACAATTTTAGATATGCGATAATATATCATTGCCAACACGACACAAGCAGTCAGGTTTTTTATCATTTATTTTGTTATTTATTCGTTCTTTATTTTTAGTATGTTTGAAACTTCGGATTCTAAAGTACAAAGAGTATACGATTCTATTTGGACTTGAAAGTTCTTAACCAAGTCGAATGGGAACATGGGAAGATTAAAGTTACTGCTTAGCTTCGGATACTGTGGATAAAAATCATAATATGTTTGTAGCAACTAGCAAATTTGTCATTGCTCATCTCAGAAAAACAACTTAAAATAAAATTAGAAAAAATTAACGTGTTGAAAGGACTCATATTATTAACCCACACTAACTAGTGTAAAGTTGTATCTGCCACTTCACCATCAATCACTTCAAGGTAGAATTGTAGAGTAAAAGAAACACTTTTAACAACATAAATGCATACCACAACAACAAAAGCACCCATATCCACACTAGGAGTATATGTTGCCAGGTTCTTTCCTCGAATATAATTAGCTATAGTCGAAGCCAATCTTCCCAGTTTCTTTTCAGCAGCATCAACAATATACCATGGCTTTTCTGTGTTCACATGATCAATAGCCTTTGGATACCATGTTTTATTCCAAACATCCTGGAATTGGAAAGAAGAATAACTGAGGTGAACTGTATTAATTCAATACCTATCTATTCAAACATCTGCAAGAATCGAATCAATGATTAACAATTTTAATGTAACTAAGAAATCCAGTTGAGAAAGGGAAAATTCATTGAGCAAACAAGTTCAGGTACTGTACATTCTTAATATGAAAGCAAAACTAAAAAGTATAAAACACAAAAAAGCCTATATTTCATCTTCCAACAAATGTAATTCCTATTTCTTAAGCGGCAAATATAATTCAAGTCATTAAGTCTCAAATGTCAAACCTTATGATGATGGAAAGTTCTTTTATCCCCTTTTATACCACTAAAGAATGCAGTTCATATGGCAATAAAAAAATGCAAACTTATGACTCTAAGTGGCAAATATAACTTAAAAATATACTCCAAATCTTTTCAGGTTTCCATTATGCCACATCTAGTACTTTACTTCTGTAGCTTCTCCACTGAATCCCAATAATGAAATCAAAACCACGAAACTCTTCAAGAATGCTTATTAAAGTTTACACACAAGAAGTCAAGAGCCAAAACTCAGGATAATGCCAACAAAGTTGCATAGTGCCGCTTAGACTGTAGATAGCCATTTGATCTCTACTTCCAAATTCTCTGAATGAACTAAGATTGTATTCTTACGCATAAAAAATGATACGGAGTACCTTTTACTTTTTAATCTTTATTTATCTTAACTATAAAAATTAACCCATGCAATTTATTTAAGCTCCCGAATAAAAATGGGACGAATTCTAAACAGATTCCAGATTGTGACCTCCACAAGACCACAAGATCACAATATAAAAGTGGAGACACTCGAAAAGGGCGGAATTTAGGGTTTTTACCGGGCCTTTGAAGCCGGTCTCGTCGAACATCCACTGTTGCTCTGCAGGGATAAGAGCTGCTTGACATTGGAAACGGATGTTCGTCGTCCTATGTGTCCGGATGAGAGGCGATGGTAGTTGAACGGACGGCTTCGATGATGCGATGGAAAACCCTGTAAGTAGGGCTTTCTTCGGTGAAGAAGAGAATGGGTTTGTGGAGGACGGGGTGAAGCACTGTAAAACAGCCATTACTATGCCTCCCACGCTATCTGTTTGAACCCAGCTATGGCGTTTTGAAGTGGATAAGATAAGTGTTTTTGCACTCACCCATAGGGGTGGGGTGGGTGCGGTCCGGGAAATTAGTACAACTCGTAATGTATCTGTGAGGTTTCTAATGGTCCGGTCCGGTTCTAAGGATGGAACCATTCGGTACCGTGTCATTTCAGAACGATACAAAATGGTACGGTACAATGCCAAACACATGCATGTTAAAAAAATTGGACAAATCTTGCAATCAGTAGATATCATAACACTAACCAACTTGCATGAAATTTCGATATAAATACAAGAAATTGCATACATAGTATTAAAATTCACAAACATACAAATAGTGTAACACAACTAAAAAAAAGTAGAGCAAAATGATGATACATGAGATAAATGGAATATCATCATAAATTTACTAAGTTCATGTGAAAATATAAAAAGAATAGTATCAAATTGTCGAATATCATAGAAAAATTCATCGTTCTTCTTCTTTGCTCTTGGTTAAATTTTAGTTCTAATTTAATTTATAGTTGGACGTGACAAATAAGATTTAAACCATATTAATTCAGTTGTAAAATTGCGCAAACATGATATAACAATAATTTATATATATACACTTAATTACTAGAAATGAATAGTCATTAATAATTTTAAAACTTCAACTTTCTTTCCATTTATATCAAAATATAACACAAATTATCTAAAAATAAAAAATAAAAATATACATATAAACACACACATTTAGCTATTTGAAGGACACATGATAACATACTTGGGTATAAAATTGTTGGTCTATAAAATAGATTTATTGGTGTCAAAAAATATAAAAATCCAAATATGTTATTTTTGAACGGTCCGATCCGGTATTTTTTCAGTTCTCAAAATCTAGGACTGGTCTCGTACCTGTTTCAAACGGTACGGTTTCGGTTCGGGATAAAAATCTATAAAATTGTTCAAATACCCAATATTCGGTTCGGTACCATTATGGGCCGGTTCGGTTCGGGTTTTATGCCCACCCCTACTCACCCATTTGAGAGGAGTACGTATATGGTACAACCGGCTGTATTGTGAGCACCCTATAGCCGGCCCAATAACAAGCCTAAGAGAAAAATAGTAAAATAATTCGGTGGCATTTTTATAATTAATAATGTGAAAATCCCAATTTCTGCTAAATGAGCATTAGTGTACCGTTAATGATCGAGCAATAGTCCAATTTTAATGAGTATTAAGCGTCTACAAATGAGCACCGTGTTATTACAAGAAAGCTGATATCACAACAAAAAAGCGGTGGCATTTTCGTAATTTCAGTAAAAACGCGATTTTCGTTAGATGAGCATTAATACACTTTTAATGAGCATCAGACGTATTGTTCTGAGCATTAAGAGTCGAATAACATATATTATTGTAATTAGCTATCTTTTTCTTAATTTATCTTTTATAAACATCATTAAATGATATCTATAATCAACTTCTATAAACTTCGATATGCGAATTTAATGTATTATGATACTTTTGAAATATGCATTGATATGTCATTTTAAAATGAACATATATTAGTTCCAAATGAGCATACACAACTTTCAAAATGCGCATAAATATGAAAATTGTAAGGTTTGTTAGTTGGACGTCGTGACATTTTCATTGACCATCAAACCTCCTATACTGAGATGAAAATAATGATTTCTATTAAATGAGCATTAATGAATTTTTAATTAGCACTAGACCTGTTCCGTTGAGTATTAGGAGTCTATTATTGAGCATCGTAATATCTGCTTCATATCTTCTAATTCACTTTTTTTTTGCTTTTATAGAAATTTATATCTACAATCAATTCCTATGAAGTTCAATATGTGAATCTAATGCATATGATAGTTTTGAAATATACATTGATATGAAATTTTTAAAATGAGCATAACATCAGTACGGATTGATCATATGTAGCTTACAAAATAAGCATTAATATGAAAATAATAAACTTTTTTGTATATATTTCCTGATCAGTGTTCTAAAAGGCGTGAGGCGTGGCAAGGCGTCGAGGCCAAGCCTTAAGCCTTTGAAGCCTAGGCGAGAATAAGCGAAGCCTAGGCGGGAAAAGGCGTTCTAGATTTCTATTTATAATTACTACGTACTATTTTATAGTGATATATGAAGAAAATAAATACATGTTCAAAATATATTACACAAGATTGAGTCTAATTTTTACTTTGCTCAATATGTATAAATTTTAAATGTATAAAAAGTCCAAACACAAATTGATATGTTGTTGTTTTTTACTGCTCCATATTAGATTATGCACGTATGACTACAATAGCTTCAGTCAACTTAGACAGAAAAATAACTTTAACCGAGCTTATTTTGATTATTACACGGTCGAAGTGGATGAACAATAAGAAAGTTCAAGTTCTATGCTTGAAGGAAGACGTTTAATGATGTTCTCTGTGAGCAAAATTGAGGTACATACCAATTCATGAATACTTGATCAAGTATACAGTTATTAAAGCTGAATATGTGTCGTTGAAAGCAGTGGTTAGTCAAAGAGAAATATGTCTGATCTTAAGAAGATGAAATGTGGAATTATTTATTTTTTATTAGTCAATTACTCCTAATTGTGTCTGCTGCAGCTTTTAATATTAAATTTTTTATTTAATCTGATTTATTTATTTTGATGTTTTATTGATTGTTTGTTTATTCGCACTCCTAATATTTGCCTATGAAGCATATTATACAAAGCGGGTGTGTCTATTAATATGAGCATTGATGTGTTTGATTTTTTTTTATATGTTAATTATTTGCTTTCAACCTCCCTAAATGAGAGCTTTTGTAGAACATGTAGTAAGCTTCATGTCAAGGCCAGGCCTATTTTTCATAACATGTGTGCACTCTTGAGATAGAAGGGCATGCTAAATATCATAGTATATAATGCATTACTTTAAATCATTCGTATTAGTAATTAATGCTTACTGGGAATGATAGGTGAATACTATTTGAATTTTGAATCCTTTCCTTACTTGCTACTGAATTTAACAAAATTATTCATTGGCCTTCTCATGACAATTGCTAAACAAACAAATCCATTATTGATATATAACATTATATTCCACGAGTGCCGATTTTGCAAATAATGCATCGATCAGAGCTCTTTTTATTGGTTCTGCCCCGGCAATCTGACCCACCATACCTCTCAATGCATTTCCCAGTTCTCATATGGAACTGGCAGTGGTTTGAAGGGGGGGGGGGGGTATGGCAATGGATGATCCCTCCAATGTTTACAAGTCCAAAGCCATTAATAAGGTAGTTGAGAACTCTCATAGCGATATAGCAGGGTTGAGGAAGGCCAGGGAGGCTGATATGGATGGCATGTTCAAATGCAGGATGAGAAAGAGGAATTGGAGCAGTACTTGCAGGTGGTTTTGATGAACACTGATTTACTGGAGGGATGAGGTTGCTAATATGACTTCCAAGTTTCAAGCCATCCCACTCTGCTTTATGATGATGAATGATGATACATGCCAAGCAGCCATTCAGGTGGTATGCTCCCCATATAAATGAGATTTTAAGGCCATTGGTATAAGGATTATTATATTTCCAGTTGTATGATAAAATGATAATGCGCAATACCTCTATAGATTTTTACACTTTTTGGCAATATTAAAATCATTTGTACTAATAGTGAAATTACAATTTTTTTTCTCCCAAAAAGAAAGATACTTCGTACATAATATTCTTTCTACATTGTTTGATCATGTTAGTGTATTTAGTTGATCTGGTATTATTTTTACACTTATATGCTTTATTTACTTGACAACATGGATTTACATTTACGCGACAACTCATGCTAAGGCTTCTCAATACATTTCCTCACCAAAGTCCTGGATTGCTTGAAAAGTACTTTTCAATTATGCTAAAAGTTCCCCGACTCATTGATTTGGACAACAAAATGAAGATTATCAAAGAAAGTGAAGACAAGATAGTCAATTGCGAAGAATTGTGTGTTAAGATGCATAAAAAGAAATGAAGGAAAATAGAATCATATACTACGTAATAGATATATGTAATACATTGAAATATTATATTGAATTACATAATTGTTGTGATACTTTTATTTATTGTTTTTTGTTGCTTTTTGTTGTATCGAATGTGTTGATATTAGTTGCATCCTGTTTTTTGTTGTTGTATTGAATGTGTTGTTTTTTTATTGCATCATGTTGTTTTTTGTTGCATTGTGTTGCTTTTTGTTGCATTGTGTTGCTTTTTGTTGCATTTTGTTATTTATTATTTTTTTTGTTGATCTTGATTTTTGCTACTTCTTTGAGGTAATTTATCATATATATTTATTTAAATAATTTAAAATGATACATTTGAATCAATGAATATAAACCAACCATTAAAAACATAAAGAAACAATAAAAACAAATATTTTAGTGTTATCAATAAAAGGTAACAAAAAGAAACAATACACAACAAACACAGACAACAAAACTATATACTTGTAATAAACATTATTAAATTTTGTAACTGTTTAAGAAAATTGAATTACAAGATTCAATTTTTTCAAAAAAATTTAATTGTTTCAATGTTTAATTTTCTTTTAAATTTTATTATTATTTTACACATTTTTATTTTCGAATTTTATATTTTCATGCCTTTTAGTTTGATTAAATTTTCTTCTTTTAATTTTTTTTTTGAATTTTCATTTTATTTCATAGCATTTAATTTGATTTTTAAATTGTATTCAAATTTATATATTTATTTATTAAACTTAGAACTTTTTACTTTGTATATATTTCGATTTCTAAATAGTGCTCCCTCTGTCCCCCTAATATTGTCCGAGTTTCTATTCATTTGGTCAACACAAATCACTTTTAATCTCTTACTTTAAGTCTCAAATTTTTATCAAATTTGATTATGATTTTTGTGACTTTGTTAAACTTTTAAATAGTTTCTAAAAATAATTTGAACGCGGATAGGAATCGGTTTGCTTTATCGTCTGTCAAACATTGTAAACCGCAATGGGACAATAATAGGGGGGCGGAGGTGGTAATTGTTTCAAAAAATACTTTCAAAACCTTTTTTCATATTTTTTATGAT